TGGAAATGTCAGAGCTCCAACTAGATTATTTTGACTCTTCAACATTCAGATTCAGCATCGGAGAGCTCATTAGACACTTAAGGAATCTTAAAAAACTGGCATGATTTTTTTATGATATGGTAGCAAATTAACCAGAAAAGTATTGTTAGGAAAGTATTACTGGACCTGGAAAATTGAGGCAAAGCAAAATCTCGAGCCTCAAATTGCTAAATGGAGGTGTATCAAAAATAAACGGAAACTACGTCTCTTTCCACTTTAAACAAAAATGTAAAGTGGCAGGGATGTGCTAATAATTCAGTGCAAATGAACAACCGATCACCAGCACGTGTGAGCACCTCTATAAAAGAATAGCTTGTTGTAGTTTCCCGGTGTGTGTTAAGCATGAAAGGCAAGGCAACTACTTTAGCAAAGCAGCTGTTGCCTCCCATTTATCTGGCCTTTTTAAAACTATTTTTTAAGATAAAATGATGATCATTTCACTACCAACTGACCCTAAAATCAAAGCTTACAATCCTCGCATAAACTGTGAAAGAAGACAATGGCTCCACCTTTTTGGGTGATGAATTTGAAAGTTCAAAGGCTTTTGTTCAGACACAATCCCTGTGAAGTTGTTCGATATCAAAGATTTGTTCTTTACAGAATAAGATCCATGTTCTACTTTCCTTTTGATTTGGAAAAGTCCCTGCTTTTTTTTCTATGGCAAATAACAGTGGAAGTGGTCCCTGAGGTGCATGTGATGCATATGGAAGTTTCCCCTTGACAAATACCGCCTACCTACGCCCGCACTCACTGGTCAGAGATCTGACACACTCATTTTTGTGGCGGGTTGTGGCTAATGGCTGCGGAGGTAAGTTCGGGCCATGTTGCTCTCACGCTCTCGTGGACCATTCATCATTCAATTTTCCGGCACGTCTCCACAAAAAACGGCGAGGAAGGTGGTGACACACCAGACGCAGAAACCAAAAACTCGAGTGGGGTGTTTGACTCAAAAACATCACTTTAAAAAAAAAAAAAATGCTTTATAAAGAGTTTGCTTTAGGGGGGAGGGGGAAAAAAGCATGCCTACGAGATCTGATGCAGTCCCATAACACATGTATACAGAAGCTGCCTTTGGCTAATGATTGTGTTACAGATTACAGGACAGCTTTTTACTCTGAGACCAATAGTTTGGCTTACTCTTCAAGTTGTGAGATCGAGACGATATGTAGATTGAGTCCACCTGAGAGAGGTTTTACGTCTTAAGTCTCTAATCTTTCTTCAGAGTCTGATCTCATCTTCTTGGAGGACACAGAGGAGCTGAAGAGGGAAAAGAACCAGAGGGAAGCAGAGTAAAAAGTACATTTGTTTCTTTCTTTTGACTAAAAAACTTTATTTCTGATTCTTTTACAGCTTTAAACTAAATAACAGCTGTGGTAAAACGTTTTAAAGGACCACTAAAGATTTAAAACTAAATGAAAAATGGTGTACTGTAGGTTTATCCGACACTTCCTTATGTTCATCCTTCTTTCAAATGACAATATTAACAGAGGATAAACAGAATACTAAGATGGACAATAGCTATTTTATTTTATTTTATTTTGTGTCATTTTGACACGTTGACTTTCCAACTAGGAGGTGGGTCACAGTGAATTATTTTGCTCCATCAAACACGAAGCTCCTCTACTAGGTCTGATTTGTGGAATTTGGAGCGAAACTTCTTTACAACTACACGCGCAATTTAAACTTCTCTATACATGAACTGCTGGCCCTTAGCCTTTTCATCACCTGATATCCCATGTGACTGGCGATCTCCATATCTGGGTCACATCTGGGCGAGAGCCACAAAAAGCCTCTGACTCAGCTGTGTTTCAATGCCTTCAGGACTCTGGAAGGGACTACCAGAGCAGTCCAAGCATCCCCTGTGAGAAAACGCCGAACAACGGACTCCAGTTCCGGTGCGAGGAGGCTTTGCAGCTGTGACCTCTTTCTTCACAGAGCGATCACTCCGGATGAGTGTTATGTGCCGCAATCACAAAATTACACTATCATTTCTGGACGTCAGTGCTGACCTTTGTTTGCTCAGCGAAAATGTCTCAATTCTTTATTAACTGTCAAAGTCTTACTTTTCACCCACCACACCCCCAAGAGCTTTAGCAATATCAATACTTTATGAAACCAACTTCTTCTTTTCATCCCCCTGAATGGATTTTTTTTTTACTAACATCCACCAGAGGAGTTTGTTTTGTATAATCTGTGACTGTTCTGGGAATTAAGCAATTCATCCCATATGAAAACGCTAAAACTAGACTCCAAATGTGAAACATTTTCGATGCTGGACAAAAATAAAAACTCTTAGCACTGTTTAACTTGTTGTGAGCCGTTATTGCCACACTGCATCCTAGTTGCAAAATGCAAACTCCTGGTGGAGTGAATTTGACCATGAGAATGTGTGTGTTTCTATGAGAAGCCACATCAGGCAGCTAGCTTGCACAATAATGGCTTTAAATTGGGATTCCCAGTTTAACCATCGCTCATCACAACTGAGCAGTAGCAGACGAGGTTTACAAATGGCAACCACAAGCATTTTAGTCTGCGAGAGTTAATCCAAAATAGAGATTGAATTTGTCTTGTAAACAAATTAGTATCACTTTTTGATAATAAAAAAACAGCTTTATTGTTTTTCAGGACACACACGGAGGAATGGTGTATTGCTGATGACAAAGCCAAAATAAGCTCTGAAAGAGGTTACCTCACAGCTTAAATACTCAGCTTGATGATGAACAGATTCCAGTGGTGAGACTCATTTAGTTGGATAACTGCATTTTAATGCAAAGCATAACTGTCTCATTAAAATCCATTCATATAATCATTTCATTATTACAGCATGATGTAGTGGTGTATTTGTTTTCCTCTTCTCTGACACACAGCATTGGCTTGTTTAACATTGTTGCCACCATACTTCTTAATTCAAGTTCAACACAGAAACATAACCCAGGAAGTGACAACAGGACTCATTTAAGATGGATTTCACCGATAGCTTTTAAAGGTCATCATTGGCCTCCATGGTCCCAGTTTTGAAAAAATGTTTAAATCAGCGTGTAGAGAATGTAAAGCTGATCTATGCAGGCCTTCGTTTGAACAGAAACACAAACAGACAGTTGTTGGATCATTTCCTTGCCTCAAAGGTAGCATTCCAATGATTTCCTTGGCCTTAACATTAGTTTCTGCCCCCAATTTTCCACGCTGGCTCATTGGGTAAACCACTTTAGCGAATGAGAAAGTAGTGGTCATCGAGCCAAATGACCCCCTGCACTTTGGCTGCAGGGGTAGATGACGCCATGATCCCTAAATGAGAGGGATGCTACACCCTACAAACAGAGAGGAAATCCAAGACTTTGTGCTAAATGAGAGAATTGAGACAAGAAAAAGCTCTATAAAGTCAGTGTGCCAGCTGACATCTTTCCCCCTGCATGAGATAAAATGTAACAGATGGATCTTTTTTTTTTCAGCACTGTATCCGAATGCGTCCCCTGTAACTAATCACTGACTCTTTGTGTGTAGCGAATGTACAATTAAAAAAAAAAAAAGTCTGAACGCAGATGTCACAAAAAACAACCGTAAAATTTCTCTAGCACATAAGAAATGTCTCTCCTTTTTGGGGCCACAAAACATGGTGGTTTAAAGATTTTCCATGAAATTTCTTCAGACTTAGATTGCTTTAATTTGCTGACGAATCTGTTTTATTGCAGTGACCGATTAGCTTGTAAGTCCACAAAGGAAGTCATGACACACACCACTTGTTGATGGGCTGTTTTTCAAATCTTACAGGTTTCTCTCATCAAACAAGCTCTATACTTCAACTATATGCCAGGGCTCAATTATTTCCACAAAAACAGTTAAAAAACAATCAATAGATTTAGTAATTAGCTGTAATGGTAATCCAAAACCAGACGTAGACTTAGTTGTCACGGTCTCAAGCTCACAAAGGTATTTGGTTCAAAGCACTGTTCGCAGCCACACACACCACCCCTTTGCTGCTCCTTCTTATAAAGACTCTGTGGCTTCTTAGATGAATGATTTGAGTACAGAATCCACTCAGATGTGGGAACACCCCTATGAGTCGTCGCTCTCCTGCTGCCTGTACAATACAGCAGCAGAAAGTCATCACATGTTATGTCTAAGCGTAGACATACTGTACAACCTACATGGTTGCACAGTCAATGTACACGTCCATCATCTGGGACAGGCACGTCACGGATGGTTCCCCTCGCTCTGAAAAAGCTAAAAAACACCAGAAAAAATGTCATCCATCCCTATGAGAACTTTGCAAACCGGGAACCAGATAAAGAACTCTTGACTCAACATTCACCGGTTCAGTTTGTGTTAAAATAGATGTGCCACCGAGCAAACAATCAACTTAAGGGGAAGACCAGAAGGTGAGACAGGAGGACCATTTGCTCCACACATATTATATAAACTTTCCAGAACCTGAAACTTAAAGCTGTTGGAGACTCTCCAGACGCTGAGGCCATTTGGCTTAATTCCTACTGATGGATGCTGTGTGTGGAAAATATAGGCCTAAGGCAAGCACAGGCTGAACTAAATCGGTGCATTGCAACCGAATAAACACGAATCCGATCCAATTTGAGCAAGAGAGTGAAAGTGTCTTCTCACACCAATCACTTTCTGAATTCCATCAAGTGAATTGGACAGTTGGGTGCCGTGATGAATTATGAAAAAGGAGATTTTAAGTGAGAGCAGCGGATTGTTGCATCATAGCCATCCTATTTGGGCATTTCTACTCGTTTCTGCCATCAGAAACAATAAAAAAAAACATGAACCAGGCGCATTTTGAGCCCTTTATGAAACAAGGAAAGTAGCGAGTGAAAAAAAAAACATTCTCTGAGGATTGTCTGCTTCACTTGCATGTTGCGTGGGTAGTCGGCTCGTTCGGACCTCCCTCCTCCTCCGCCTGAAACTAAGCCATGCCCAGATAAAGCTCTCCCGGCGCAGAGGTAACCTGCACTTTTGGGGCCGCAGGCTGCAGGGACGCAGACTGAATGAGGGCGGAGTGCGCCATTAAACTGAAGTTGCGCCGGAACCCGACTTTCTCGCTAGCAAATTTGAAAGGAAACTTGCACCGGGAACACCTGTGACCGCGTTTTGCTGCTCGTTTTTCTCTTTTTTTTTTGACAACATGTCCGGTCACGGCACCCTGGCCGGGGTGCTGGTCGCCCTGTGGATCGGGACCTCGGTGAACTGCATGCCCCAAGGAACGCAGCGGGATCGGCGTCAGGCGCAGCCGCATCACCCTTCCTCAGTCTCTCAAGGTACTGTGGGCTTGTTTGAAAACAATTTTATTATATTAAGCGTTTAAGAAAACACGGAAAACCCACTAATCGTTTGGGGGAACTATGTAGCTCCCAAAAAGAGGAATGTTCAGGTGCAGTTACTGTTTTTTTGCTGCTAAAAACTGTTTGGATTCACAGAAGTTGGTTGCAGATTTTAATTGTTGTTGGGCTACACTGCAATAGATGTCATCAACCTAATGATGACATCAAAAATCTAATTGGCCTAATCAGTCTCTGAGTGACAAGATTAACCTTTAACCCCGGCTGTCTGCTTGAACCATGTGAAAACTGCTATGATCCAAGTTCACATAGGGGAGGAAGGGGGGGTTAAAAGGGGAGAAAATGAGTTCACGATAAGGGAAGTCAGGAGATTGGCACAAAGAAGGCGCTTAGTGGGGGAGGAAGAGAGTAAAAGTGCATAAGTATTATTCCCCACCCTGTGCGAAAGATTTATCGCTCTCCATAAGAGCTCTTTGAAGTCAATCCTTCCAGAGTCAGTTTTATAGACATGAATGGGTTCTTTGAATATTTCATCCAATTTAGGCTGTGCTTATTTCAATAGAAAAAGTACTTACCTATTTTTTTAAACAAAATACTTGTGTGTGCTTTCCGGTATCCATAGCCCTAACAATTTACCCAGCGTCTGTATGCTGTATAAACCGGGTTATACCAACTTCTCCTGAGCTGTGTGTTTTTTTTTTTTTTTTTTCTGGTCAGATGGTTGTACAGAGAACGGTCGCTCCTATAATGTCAATGAGCAGTGGGAGCGCCCCTTTTTGGGCAGCACTCTCATCTGTACTTGCAATGGAGTTGCTGGGATCAAATGTAAAAGCAAACCTGACGGTGAGTCTCTTTTTGCACCAAAAAAAACAACGTCTCCCCCTCAGGACCCGCATGTGTACCTACAACATAACGGTGTTTTCTTCCTGCAGCTGAGGAAAAGTGCTACGACAAACTGAACCAGAAGTTCTACACCGTGGGGGAAACCTTTGAAAGACCCATGGACAACATGATCTGGGACTGTACCTGCATTGGGTCTGGACGGGGAAAGATCAGTTGCACCATCGCAAGTACGTGCACATATATTTTTTTAAGGGGCTTTTGGACATTGTTCAGCTTGAATCTCATCTGTTTGGGACTTCTAACCTCAGACTCCACATCCTGTCTCCACTTTTTCTATCTTGGCCAATCAGGCTGATTGCAATAAACTTGTTAATGTCCACATTCTGCACAGCTGATTAACAACTGGTGCCGTGCAGCTGTTTGTAGTTAGCTGCTTTGTCGGATAATGCGAAAAGCTGTCCCAGTTTCCTTTTTTTTCCACAATGTTTACTCATAATATGCGAAGGGTTAAAGAAAAAAAAAGATTGATGTTTTTTCTCCCTTTTATCCTCCCAGATCGCTGTCATGACAGCGGGGCTTCGTATAAGATAGGAGACACCTGGAGGAGACCCCATGAAACGGGAGGCCACATGTTGGAGTGTGTTTGTCTGGGTAACGGAAAAGGGGAATGGACATGCAAACCTGTCGGTGAGTCACACAGACGGCTGACTAACAGATGACTGTGTTTATCTGGTTTGTAAAACCCAGATTTCCTTTTTCCCAGAAAAGTGACTTTGGATTCTCATTGTATGCGATTGAAAAAGTGTGTTTGTGAGTAACGAAGTTGCTCATGGGTCTGTCTGTATGCCGTAGCGGAGCGATGCTACGACAGTTCTGCAGGGACATCCCATCATGTTGGGGAGACGTGGGAGAAGCCCTATCAGGGATGGATGGTGGTGGACTGCACCTGTCTGGGCGAAGGAGGCGGCATCATCACATGCACATCTAGAAGTAAGACCCCCTGTTCCCCGCTATGCTTTTGTCCCCCGGCAGTCAATCGGCGTGGCCGAGCACAACTTGTGAAACTGAGAGGAGTTTGTGAAGCCGGCTTGGAAAACTGAAATCATGGGATTTGACTGTAACGTTTTTAAACTCACCCGTCACACTGCTGTCTGACATTTGTATTCGCTAAACTTAACTTTTTGTGTCTTAATGTCAAACCTGATAAGCTAAGTCATAGAGATATGCAGAAAATCTAATCATTTGTGGCTACATTCCTGCTATTTGGTTTAATCGCATATGTATCCCTGGTAGCTTAATTACAACCGTCACACAGTTTCTGTTGGGAAAGTGTAGCTCGTGATTGTTTGGGGTTTTTGGTTTGGTCCTCAAGGAGAACATTTACCAGCTGTAGCACCAGTTTAAACCATTGTAAGCCTACTTAATTATATTGTCTGATGACGTGGGTCATGACGAACCTTATTTCTTTATCTTTTTTATTGCATGCAAGAATCAAGGTGGCCTTTTTTTTTAATCTGAGGTCATGATAAATCGGTCCTTATGCTCTATTTGACACTGAAGTTGCAAAGCACAAACAAGGAAACAACTGTTGTCTGGGGGGGAGTCACTACCCATGCAGGATCTGTAACTCTAAAAAGATTTGTAGTCCATCTAAGCTCGCTCTGTCCGTTTGTTTCGTGTTAATGCTTCTCCCTTTCTTTCCCCTAGATCGCTGTAACGACCAAGAGACTCTTACCTCGCACCGCATCGGAGATACTTGGACCAAGATGGATGCCAACGGCAACCAGCTCCAGTGTCTGTGTACGGGGAATGGTCGCGGGGAGTGGAAGTGCGAACGGCACGTCTCACTTCACACCACCGCCCACGGTGAGAAATGGTGTTATCCCTGTCCCTTTCCTCACCTCTCGCTATGTGCGACGGGAAGAATGCGAACCAGAGACAGATGTTGAGAGGTGGGAGAGATAGGAAGTGCCAAGTGTCCAAGTGATGATGTGAGAGTTTTTTTTTGTTGTCAAATGATCATGACCTCATGAGATGCAAAGACAGTTATGGCATGTGGGAGCAAGGGCTGTTTTGGGGGAGTTTTCCATTGGGGAACCGTAAGGAAAAACATGCAGTAACTGAAGTGCTTATGGACTGTCGCCCAGGAGAAACGTCAGTAAAAGTATGCTTTTTACTGACTTTGGATCGCAGTTGTTCATGTAGAAATATAACAGGATAAAAGCTTAGACTGCCAACAAGGTAACGCTGGCTGTTTAAGAGCAGTGAACCTTGTTCTGGAAACTTTGCTGTCCCCTTACAAACTGAGCTTAGTTGCACCCCAAAAAAGATGGGAAATTACCAAAAGATTTTCCTTAACTTGAACAGAGCTAACGGCTAACTTAAGTTTTCCACTCCTGTGAAAGTTCATGCTGTGGTTTCTTTCTGGTTATTTGGATTCTTGGACGTGGCACCTGATCTTCTGTCCATGTTTTTACGCCATAGGCACTGGCTCTCGTGTGGTCACCAATCTCGAGACTGCGCTCCAGACGCCTATGACCGTGATTCCTGTTTCCAAGGAGGGAACCTGTCGGACTGAGACGGGACTGACGTACTTTGTTGGACAGCGCTGGATGAAAAACCAGGGAACTAAGCAGATGCTGTGTACCTGCCTTGGTAATGGAGTAAGCTGTGACCCATGGGGTGAGAGAAGTTTTCTTGTTACTTCTTCTTTTCAAATGTTGGGCCTTGCACAAGAACAGCCATAATTTAGTCGAATTGAATGTACTTCTGGAGTTGCATGAGATAAAAAGAACAATGCACACATGACTGAAAGCATTTGCGTTAATCTCCCCATCCAGAGGGGCCAGCTCCAGTGTATGGTGGAAACTCTGGGGGAAAGCCCTGTGTGTTCCCTTTTGTCTACAAGGGGAAGACCTACCACTCTTGTACGTCTGATGGACGCAGCGATGGACAGCTGTGGTGTTCCACCTCCTCTGACTATGAGACGGACCAGAAACATTCTTTCTGTACCGAGAAGAATGGTGAGCAGATGTGCTGTTGTTGCCTAAGGTTACGACTTACGGTCGTGGAGGAGATTTTCTTCTTTCTCTCCCTTTCTTTCATTTGTATTAAATCAACAATGTTTTCCTTGCATTTTGTCAGAAAAAATATACGGCATAGTAATACCACTGTGGCTTATCTTCCTTGTTACTCCCATACATTTGTACTATATCCTCCCCCCTGGATACAAAGCTGAGGCTGTGTCAAAATGCAGATAATTTACTTTTCCTCAGAGAAGGGGATGGTGTGTGTTATACATCATGAATGGAGGATTCTCCCTCAGTTCAGGCTCTCTCAGACATACCAGGCAATCTTCTGTTGGATTTGCCCTTTTTATTTGCAGAGATTTTGCAGAATTATTTATTTTGCAAGCATAAAAGGCTGCATTGGAGTTCGAGTTTCTAATGAATCAGGGATACCAAATTTCCTTTTCTTTGACAGTGGCTGTGGTGACACGAGGTGGTAATTCCAATGGGGCTCTGTGTCAGTTTCCCTTCCTCTACAATGGGCGAAACTACACTGACTGCACAGCTGATGGGCGTAGGGATGGCATGAAGTGGTGCGGTACCACAACAAACTATGATGCCGAACAACGTTTTGGGTTCTGTCCAATGACGGGTAAGTGTGAGATGGAGAAAGATGTTTGGGTTTAAGGATTTGATGCTGTAGTGGGTTATTTTTCGTTGTGTATTTGTGTGCTTTTTTTTGTTTCGTTTTTTGGGGATCCCACTAGTTTTTTTTTTTTCTTTCTCTCTATACACCTCATTTTTGGATTCCACAATGGCTTGTAAAATATTTTGCCTCCACAATGACAATATTTGGTGGGGTTGGTAAGACCAGCATTCAAACTCAGACATGCAAACTTCAGACCAGTGGTTGGGCAAGCTTGAATGAATGAAGACGCACATAAGGCATCTCACATACATAGCAGAGCATACAAATAAAATAAAAATTATATTTGCGCCATAAAGATCTACCATCTTTATCGGAACTCAATAAAAAATGCAAAAACAACCAAAAACACAGGTTGAAACTTTCCCTGGAAATTTGTGAAATTATGGGTGCTTCTGGTGAAAAATGCACCTCAACATGCAATACACTGCTAACTGCAGCATCCTGCCCATTCTTGTGCAATGTATCACAAGAGATGGCAAAAAGGACACAGAGTTGGTGGTTGAGACAAAGTCTCATTTACAGTTCTAAAACCATTTTATTTTATTCAAAACACAACTCCTTTCACATTTGTTGGCATTACCACTTAATGTGTTGATGCCAAGCCAACAGAGGCTCAAGCCTGGAAAAGTAGCAAGTCACTGATGCTGCACGGATGGCTATGAGGCCCTGATGAAACGGTGGATTTGATTCCATTTTGCTATATAATCAACAATAACGCATGGAGCTTCACACATATTACCAAGACCTGAGCTGGCCCATGTTGATGATCGGAGAACATGCCGGGTTAACACCAAAATCCTCTTAAGTTGTTCATTTAATGGTGGTAAACATCTTCAGGGCTGTTGTTTAACGTTGCTCCAAAGTAAAAATCTTCTTAGCCATCCAGATGTTCTCAACTGACGCATCCATATCTAGATTTGCTTCAAACGATGGACCAAAGCCATTTCAAATTACTCCTTTTATGTGCTTATTTCACCCTGGGACCACCTAATGGCTGACACCTTGTTGGTGAAACTGCCTTGTCAGGTTTTAACAACTGTGCCGGCTATTGTCAGAGTTGTTTGCGTGTGGCAAACCCGGTTCAGTGGTGAAAGGGGCAGACAGTCTGGAAAGTGACGATAATTGCTTCACAGGCATTCTCAAAACAAACACAGTTTTTTACATGTTAATGGGGATGTTTAACCCAATGTGGAGCCGCTGCTTTCTCCTCCATCTGTGGCAATCTTCTTCAAAGGCTGATAGACGGGCTAATCTGTTGTTTGTCATGAGCCCCGGGGATGCTCAAGCAGTGGCCTCCAGGTGTTGCAAAGCATTTAGGGTTCAATTCCGCGACTCAAGTTTCATCATTTACATTATTGGATCAAGTATCCACAACAGAATCAGTGGTTCCTAATTCCTCTAAACCAATAATTAAACATCTTATGTTAATATTTGATCACCAACACAGCTGTAAAAGCAAGCAATACTTTAAAATGTCACTCATGTCTGTCACGTGTGGATTTATTGGGCTTGAAACATGATGACCACACAAAAGGACGTTTAACGCATGAAGTCATGGGTGGGTTCTTAAAATTGGTCTGATTGAGTTGATGCTGTTGTAAAAGATTAGAGTTGAAATTGTTTCCATCTTCGAAGCAAAGATTAAATTTAAATGATGAAAAGCAGCAAATTACCCTCCAGCTGTAAGTGGTTCAAAATAAAGGCCAGAAGGCACATCACTCAGGGCTTCTGAACACAAGCCTGAAGATAAATTCTTTGGATGCACAGAGTTATACATTAAAACAAAAATGAAAAAGAGGTATCCATTCATTTAAAAGGGGTACGTTTTATCTTCAGCCATTTATCTGGTTATTCAGTGGTTCACTGGCTATTTAGCTTAAGCTGACATAGAAACCTGACTGTCTCATTCTTCTCCAGCTCCTGTGCTTCCATCCTAGCAGCAACCTTAATGTGTAGCCACTAAACAACGGCTGAAAGATTATTTTCCAAGAGTTAGAAGGTCTGGCACAGAGTCTTCCAGGCAAAGAAAGTCATTGTCCAGACTTCAGGACTTTATTTATTTGTATTTATCTTTTATTTAGCCAAGAAGGTTCGAAAGAAATACAAGATCTATTCCAAGAAGAAGTCCTCATCCAGAAAGAAGTACAAGTTCGCCCAGATCCTCATATCATTTATTGTCTTTCCTTTACCTGTTGTGAAACAGATTTCAGGCATTTAACTTTGACTGATTAGTCTGTTTAAAAAATAAATGCCTCGTTTTGTGTTCAGAACTGATTGTAAGTTCTGCTCTTTTGTGCCTCTTAAACTACTCCGAGTCAACACTCTGAAGAGACCGTACTGAAATAAAGCTGCTGTGCCACTGACATTCCTTCCATCACATGTATGCGTACCCACATTAACACAAGTCTCTGCTCATCCCACCCACGTTTGCTTGCTTTCTGTCCCTCACACTCTTTTAATTAACCAAGGACATGTGGTGAACACACACTCACTCGGATGAGTCAAGACAGATGTTTCTAACTTTGAATCAGATTTTCTTTCCTTTTGAATGCAGGTGTCTTATGATGGATGTACACTTTTAGTTCACTCTCAACTGTGTTTCAGTTTTCTATTTGAGTTTTCTGAAAATGGAGGAAAGAAGGAGTGAAGCGAATGCCCACCTCATCATCCTGAGATAATGATCTGTAACTGTATTTCTCTCTCTGTGTTTAAGCTCACGAAGAAGTGTGCACTGCGAGTGGAGGGGTGATGTACCGTGTCGGGGACCAGTGGGATAAACGCCACGATGTGCTGGGTCACATGATGCGGTGTACTTGTGTCGGCAACGGACGAGGCGAATGGAGCTGCGTCGCTTACTCCCAACTCAAAGGTAAGTGTGTTTGTGTATGTGTGTGAGCATGCGAGACGGACACACACCAGAGGATCGAGAGTCGCCGTGTGTACGGCATAATAACCAGCCACGAATATGAGGAGTGCCTGATTGACAGGGTCAAAGGTCGTGTTTAATGTGATCGCTCAGCCATGTGAAAGGTCAGACATGAGCCTGTGCACCTGCGTTTTTATGTGGTTTCGGGCTCACGGGAAAGATGTGCGTACAAAACCAACAACAAAAAAAACACTGAAAAAAAAACGGTGTTAAACTGCATGTTTCAGTGTATCTGTGCCACCGTGTCTCCCACAGACCAATGCACTGTGGATGGGCTGACCTATGAGGTCAATCAGACCTTCACAAAGCAACACGATGAAGGATACGTGATGAACTGCACCTGCCTTGGACAGGGCCGCGGGCGCTGGAGGTGCGATCCCATCGGTGAGTTCATCGTTTCATAGGTTTCCATTGTACTGGCTGGAGAAAAAAAAAATATCCATCACTTTGATTTGTCTTAATGTAAGTGTTGTTTGAGAAAAAGACTCTTGACTCTCACTTGTGTTTGAATTCTTCTCTCAGACCAGTGCCAGGAGCCAGAGACGAGGGCTTACTATCAGATTGGGGAGACTTGGGAGAAGTTTGTCCACGGAGTCAAGTACAGATGCTTTTGCCAAGGCAATGGAGTCGGAGAACACAACTGTGAATCTGAGCAGTCATACCCTGGTAATATTCCGAGTTTTTTTCCAACCGAAACACGCAACGAAGGATGTAATAGTACCAATTATTTTTCTATTTATTGTAGTCTTTCGTCACCTACCTGGTTATGCTTTTTCGTTGTAGTTTTTATTCTCAAACTCAGTAAAATGTTTGTTTAAGTCACCTCGGAAATGAGGCCCCTGACTTTGATGTGAAAGTGGCGGGGACGGGAGGGGTGCTTCATTTCCTCTTTTCAAACACACAACCCCAGTGTGAGCCTTTGTTCCTGCCAGCATGAGGCACGTCCCCTGTGAAGTTTCCACAGCTGCATCACGGGACGCACAAATGATTTACTTTTATGGAGTGGATTTGTTCTTTCGAAAGGGGGAAAGTGATAGAAACATAAATAAATAAAACAATATAACAGGAAATTTCCAAATGAGGCTGCACGGTACCACAAGTGGAACGGCTTCAGGTTATCAGGTCCTGTGCAGAGGAACATTCAAACCGTTTGCAGGTTGATGGGAGATGCGAAGTGTAGGGCATTACTCTGCCGTAAGTGGCCATAATAGCAACCATCTGTGAACTGGCTCTGTGTGTATGCGTGTGCTTAGGCACACAGAACCCAACATACAAAGATTTAAGGGCAGCGAGAGATCCAGACTTTCTCAGCTGGCTTTTTTTCAGGAAAACACCATAAAAGGTAAAAACGCAGAACCCGAATTAAGCTTTTTTTCCCCCCTTTACAAGTTTTTACAAGCCTCAAATTGAGCACACACAGTGATAAGATCTTTAAAAAATGCTGCTCTTTTGTCTGCTATCAGTATCTATCTTTTTTAGCCCGTGGGGTAATTTAATCTTTTGAGGCATTCTTATTGTCAGCATGACTTTCATTATTTCCTCCCTTTACTGTGCTCCTTATCATAACTTTACTGTGTGTCTGTCTGGCTGTCAAGAATGGATGTTATGTCTATGTGTCCAAAGTAGGGGTGGATGTGCGCACGCACGTGCGCGTTGTGCGCAGGCAGAAAATGTGTGGGAGTACATCCACCTCCACTATGCATCTGTTTTCTACCCCCTCTCGCGTACGATTCTACATTTCCCTTACCTCCACCAGTGGCCTGTGGGTCTGTAATGGGGGGTAATTGGTCCCAGACTGTTTTTGAGGTTTGCATATCTGCTTGCTACTTCTGGTTAACCGAGCCACTTGCTCAGAAACTTTGATTACAGGTCTTCTATTTGGAAAAGTGGTTAGAAAGCCTCAATTCTTTATAAAAGCTACCAGTTTCTATCAGCATAGTTTATGTCAGGGGTCTGCTCACCACATGACTTCTGTTTACACTGAAGACAACATGATAACATTGTTCAAAACATCGCAGTACCTGTTGTCAGCTTGTGTGATTTAGTATAGAGAAGGTGTGTGCACTACAGCCTTACTGCCATCTTTTTTTTCAGTCAGAAGTTAAATGCACTGATTTGCTTTAACAGGACGGAGCAACTGGTAAATGTTTTTTTTTTAGTGCCATTAAGATTTAAATGAGGCTATAAAACCACAATTGTTAGATGGAAAGTAGTTAATCCAGTATAATAATTTTGTATAAACTTTTATCCAGGCTTTAGGTTCTTGTTGTTGTTTTTGTTGTTCTTGCAACAACACAAGATATTGTTTGTAGCTGTTATTTTTGCCTGATTCTTTTAGGTAAGTTTTGTAACAGGCTACATCTACTGCACAAGTATTTCCATGACATTAAAGGGGTTACCATAACAAAATGTTATATAAGGCTACGGAAAAAAGAGTGGGTACAGTTGTTCACTTTGTTCTTCTTTCCAAAAAGGAGATGAAATATTAGAAAACATGGTTAAGAACACAAAGAGTAAATGTTTTCTCCCTGTCCGCTGATGGAAATCTGTGCTGGAATCTCACAGGGACCTGCAAGTTTTTTTTCTTTTTCCCCCCACTCTGTTTTCTGCTCTGGAAAAGAAGTCCAGTCGCACACTGATTCTCTCTGTTAAGCTGGAATATATAAAGCAAATGCATTTTACATGTCTATGATTGTAAAAACTCTTGTGGTATTATAATAACAGACCTAAAGGTTTCATTTATACGGTAGACAATATATCTTGATTTAATCTATATCCAACCTTTTATCACATTGTTTTATGGTTTTGTTGGGAAAGGTGTGTTTATTCCTGGCTGTCTTCTCCTTACTTTACAGGTGGACACCGTCCTATACAGGTGATCATAGCAGAGGCTGGAACCCAGCCTAACACTCACCCCCTTCAATGGAACTCCCCCACGTCTGCACACATCACTCAATATATCCTTAAATGGAAAGTGGTGAGTTTTTTTGTGTGATTTAAATCAAATCCACAGACAGTCAAATGGTTGAGATATATCCCTTATGAAATTGACCTAAATCTAAAAACCTTTCATCACAGAAAGACTCACGAACTCCATGGAGGGAGGTGATTATTCCGGGCCACCTGAACTCCTACACCATCTCAGGTCTCAAGCCAGGCATCACTTACGAGGGTCAGCTGATCAGCGTGCTGCGCTTTGGGCGCAGAGAGGTCACGCGTTTTGACTTCACCACCTCTTACGGGTCGTGTGAGTAACCTTTCTGTTCAACGACTCAGTTTGCGTCGTCCTCGTTGCTTACGTTTAGCCCCGCTGTGCGTAGACCACACTGTTTCCTCAAAGGTTTGCCTACTCTGCGTTTCTCTGTCCCGTAGTGGCCACAACGCAAGGCGAGACCACCATTCCTCCACCTGTGGTCGACATCTCAGAATCCGTGACCGAAATCACCTCCAACAGCTTCGTCATCTCCTGGGTCTCTGCCTCGGACACGGTCTCTGGTTTCAGGGTTGAGTACGAGCTCACGGAGCAGGGGCAGGGCACCGGACAGCCCATCGTTGTGGGTACGTGCAGACGCTCTGACGGTTCACGGTTTGCTCCGGAATAGCGTGGTGGTGTTGTCGATCGATTGCGATGTCTCACTCCGCACATGCGTTTCTTCTCAGACCTGCCTCGCACAGCTACCTCAGTGAACATCAACGAGCTTCTGCCCGGGAGAAAGTACACTGTTAATGTCTACGAGGTCACAGATGGGGAAGTGGACAACCTCATTCTTACTACCTCGCAAACAACTGGTGTGTGTCCATGAATCAGCTCAAATGAGCCCTTGTACGTCGTTCCTCAGAAGAGCCGATTCTATATTCTTACTTGTTGTTTGCTCCGTAGCTCCTGATGCTCCTAAGGAGCATGAAGTGAAGGAAGTGGGAGATACCTCCATCGTCGTCAGCTGGGAAAAACCACTGGCTCCCATCACCGGTAGGTCACCACAGCCTCGTTAGTCACCGGCAAAGTCTTCTGAAGTTCCGCCCGGGGCTTTGAACGTCACGCCCGCCTGCACACAGTCAATGGTTCAATGCCCTCTCTGTGCAGGATACCGTGTGGTCTACTCGCCGTCCTTAGAAGGCGAGAGCACAGAGCTGAATCTCCCAGACACGGCAACATATGTGACTCTGAGCGACCTTCTGCCCGGGAAGTTGTACAACATCAGTATCTACGCCGTGGAGGACAGCCTGGAGAGCGAACCGATCTTTGTTCAGGTCAACACCTCTGGAGAGCCACTGCCTGGTAAATGTCCAGCATGATGTCTGCACTAGGTTACACAATCCTAATGTCTGCCTTGAAGTTTTTTTCTAAGAGATTAAGTGAAATCTTTTCAACACTACGATGAATTTCTTACATATTCACAATCTGCTTTGTTGCTTTGTTAGCCGTGTGTTACAATCCAATGAATCTGAATATACAGAGACTTTACTTTAAGAATTCAAGAACTCTCTTCCACCAATCTGCAAGCCATCCTGTGGATTATTTAGTCATTTGTTTTCCAGGAGTTTCCAATCTTCAGTTGTAAAAGTAAAAGAGTTTAGCCTGTGGATTGTGAAGTCACTGAGTTCAAGGCTGTCCTGCTCCTTTTCTGCTCGACTGGAGTTATGTAAAACTCATCAGCCTGCCAAGGCGAACATACGTTTGGGCCAGTGGTGCAGATGTTAGAGAGTTTTGCGAATGCTTGTTTGCTCAGTTTGTGTGATGAACTAAAGATGCATGGCCTAGATGAGAAGAGTGTTGTCATCTTTGGAAACACAAGTAAAACCCTCCTCTGCTTTGCATGTTTGGTAATGCTAATAAACTCCGGGAAACAGAGCAGTCATGAGATTCAGTGTGAAATTACAGGCTCGGCTCAGAAAAATAAACGTGTAGTCATCAACAAAGTATTTTGCTGTAAGTTGCCTACTCTGATTTACAACTACATAAACTCAAAAGTAGCCAAAAGGATATGTTTTGAGTTTTCTGTTTTTGTACTTTTAAACTCCAGATTTCTACATCCACATTGCTGGGTACCCCATTTGTCTAAGTTTGAATGTTTTATAATTGTGTATTTAAGTATTTGAAGTTTTTTATAAAGTATTTTTTCCAAGTAATTAAGAAATCACTTGTAAAAAAACAAACTTTTGTTTTGTTCACTAAAACATTTCTGTCCTTTTCTGCGTTATTTATCATTACGTGACCAAATAATATCACATTTTCCCATGTTCAAAGAAATTGCATTGAATGAACTTGAAGAATTAATCTAGTTTTTTGTGTGTTCTCATTTCTCACAGATGAAGTGGCATCCCCCACCGACCTGCAGTTCTTTGAAGTGTCCGATAGGAAAATAGTTCTGACCTGGTCCCGTCCCACTGGTGGCGTCTCAGGTTATCGGGTCACCGTGGTCCCCATTGATGTCTCTGGCTCTGCTCAGAGGGAGATGACTCTGCCTATCAGTCAAAACTCCTACGTTGAAGTGACAGAGCTGCAGCCAGGCACTTTGTACCGCTTCAGTGTCTATGCCATTCACAATGGAGAGGAAAGTTTACCTCTTATTGGGGAGCAAACTACCAGTGAGTATGAGAAAAAGCCTCAGACATGATCTCTGTTATTACTTCTGCCAATCAAGTTCTTCATAACATCTTTGTAGCATAAAAGTTGATTCAGTTATTTTATGGTCTGTGTAAATGGAGACTTTATAGACACATTTTCCCCCAAACATTGACACTATTGAAAAGCTGTTGAGATTATTAAGAACCTATTTATCTAGGAACATTATTCCGCTTGGAAACGCGTTTGTCACACCTTTGCCAATGTATCCAGTCAAAAGTAAAATGAGGATGCCACTGATTGGTACCATTGCTTGTACCAAAAAAAAAAAGATGCATAAAACGGAAACAAAACCAAATAGGGACTGATTTTGTTTCTGTTTTATGCATTTTTATGGTTTATAGGCTAAACTTTTCTTTTTTTTTTTAAGTTCGCTGCTTGCTTGCATCAGAGCAACGTCTGTAATGTAAACCAGCATAACTACATTTTTAAAGCGTTTTAATTTCCATCTTTTTAAATCAAACCGCTGTTCCTCTTCCCCTTTAGAACCAGACGCCCCCACAGACATCCATTTCGAGAACATGACCGACGTGAGTGCAGTCATGATGTGGTTTGCGCCCCGTGCCAAAATCACTGGCTATCGTCTCTTCCTCGCCGTCGAGGGCTCAGCCCCCAAACAGCTGCGCCTCCCTGGACGCCTGACCCACTACACCCTTCTCAACCTGAAGCCCGATACGGAGTACACTGTCACACTGCACTCCGAGCAAGATAACACACTGAGTGTGGGGGAGAGCTCTGTGTTCACCACTAGTGAGTTTCTGGTGCATAGATAACAGCCTGTGGTCTGTTTTGCATATAGCTGACAGGTTCTAGAAATGTCTAATTCATTTCAAACTGTTTAAAACGGGAAGAATGAATAATACATCTTTACTCTGCTCCAGACACAGCAGGGGGAAATGCCCCTCAGTTCAACACAGATGTAACGGACACCTCCATAATCGTTTCTTGGACTCCAGTTCCTCGCGTTAGCTATAAGGTATGGCAACTGGTTATACATTAAACAAATAGTTTAAAAGTTAAAAATGTGCTCTTTTGTATATCTCAGTTCTACACATTTGATCAAGTCTTTTAGTCATCTGCCCTAAAACCAGCCACTACATTTTGTGATCGTATGCGTTCGCATTCACGTTTTTTCTAAGCTCAGTGCAAGCATCCTCAGAATTGCTCAGTGTGGAAACTTAAGACCTCGGAGGTAGATCGTATTGGTCTGAACATGTCACACGAGAGATGAAAAGGCTCTGTTGGTTTTTTTTTCTGCCTATGGGAAAACGGTGACCTCTGACTTTTACCTCCCGATCTCTCCCCGGTCCCTCTGTCTGACTCTGTGTCCATTTGTCTTTCAGTTGACAGTACGGCCCAGTCTGGGCGGGGAAGCCCCGAGAGATGTGACCTCTGACTCTGGAAGTATTTATATTTCCGGTCTGTCTCCAGGAGTTGAGTACACCTACAGCGTCACGCCAATTGTTAACGGCCAAGAGGAAGGAACGCCAATAACCCGCCGCGTGGTCACACGTCAGTAAACAAACTAAATTGACGTTAAACGCAAAAATCTTTAATGTTTTTTTCTTTTAAACACCAATTTCCCCCCTTCTTCTTCTACCACTTGTAATTATTCTTAATCTTCATTGGAATCTCTTTGTATCTCCAGCTCTGTCTCCTCCCACTGATCTGAACTTGGAGTCCCACCCTAGCACCGGCGAGCTGACTGTCCAGTGGAACGGAGCCGGTACACCAGGTATAGAATCATAAATCACTGTGTGCATAGAAGAAAAAAAAACCACCCTCTACACCAAACACAGTTCCGGTTGTACAGACCACTCTTATCTAACCTTCTTCAAATCCCCGCCCTCCAAAGACATCACAGGCTACAGAGTAACCTGCACCCCCACCAGTGGGCAGCAAGGAAACAGCGTGGAGGAATTTGTGGAGGCTGGACAGAACTCCTGCACCCTTGAAAACCTCAGTCCCGGTGTGGAGTACAATGTCAGCGTTGTCACCGTCAAGGACGATATGGAGAGCACTCCTATCTCGACTGTCATCACTCCAGGTGGGTTTCAGAGGTTATCGAAAAGACTGGATGGGTATTTGAGGGGTGTAACATAGTGGAAGCCAGTCGGAAAATGTCCCCGTGCGTAAATGCTGTGTGTACTGACTTTTGCACTGGAGACATTTTTCAAAATAACTCTTACGTTGATAGTTCTTTTCAACGTTTAGTAACTTGCTAGTTCCTTTGGTCAATACAAGCTGCTTGATGTCTTTACAGTACTAACGCTTCATCATGAAGCCATTCGTTAAGTAATCCGAGTGGTAATATGAGAAGAAACTCTTCCATCATTGTTCATGATGACAAGCTGCTGGAAGTGTTTTTATCACGCTGCTTTTATCACTAATGCCTCTTGCTGCTGTCTTCTTTTCTTTCTTTTTTTTTGTCCAAACCCTTTGCTCTTTGTTGGTCTTTTGCCTCTCGTTTGTTTCTTTGTTTCCGTTTGCGTCTGTTTTCTCCTCTTTCCCCCTCCCTGCCGCATCCTTTTCCCCGCCCCCGCTCAGAGGTGCCACAGCTGACCGACCTCAGCTTCGAGGGGGTGAGCGACACCACCATCAGCCTCCGCTGGTCACCCCTCAACACCACCGTCATCACCGGGTACAAGATCACGGTGGTCGCAGCCGGCGAGAGCATCCCTATCTTCGAAGACATGGTGCTGCCGTCCGCCGGCCATTACACGGTTTACGGCCTGGAGCCCGGCATCGACTACGACATCAGCGTGATCACTGTGACGGAGAATGGCGAGAGCGAACCCATCACTGTCACTCAACAGACCGGTAAGAGTTTTCCCGCCTGGAATCAGAAAACGGAGACGCTTATGAGGAAAATTGGAAATGACACCGTGCGCGTGCCTATAACGTGATCTGGCGCTTTTTAACTCGGTGAAATGACTTCAGACCCTAAACCCCTTTTAAGTTGCTGATGTAATGGCTTTGCGTGCTGTGTTGTCAGTTTAACGAGCCTCTGTGTCTGTGTGTGTGTACACGTGGACCATCTGGTTTGAGTTGGGAGGTTTTTTATCATACTGAGGCTTATTTTGCCCCCCAGTGCATCCGCTGCTTGTTCTTTAACTTTTAAGATGCTGTAAAATGTCAACCTCACACATAAAATGCACAGATTATTGTCTTTAAGGGCTTTAATGTTAATTTTACACTTTATAGTGTAGTGGAATAATATACAGTATATTTTTTATTTATTTAGACATTACTCCGGCCTTTCGAAAGTATCAAAGATGTTCTAGATCTTATATTTTGGATCCACTCTGATTTAAGCTGCTTTCTTCTCTGAATAGCTGTGCCAGCACCCACTGACTTGGGCTTTGGGGAAGTTGGGCCAGACAGCATCGAAGTCACCTGGGCTTCTCCTCAGGTCCCGAACAAAGCGGACATTAACAGCTTCTTCATCAGGTATGAGAATTTATTCCTTAAATCATGCCTTAAATCGCCACCTTGGATTTCTTCATCCTCACACGTTGATGTAATCTTTATTATGAAGGTATCATCCCATTGACGATGAAGATGAAATTACGGAGACCAGCGTTGGAGGCGAGACTAACCGAGTGGTGATAAGGAGTAAGTTTCTCTTTGTGCACAAAATGCACAGCAGCATGTACAAGTGTGAGCACAGATTTTGAAACTGAACGATCTCTCCCATCCCTCAGATCTGCTGCCTAACACAGAGTATCTGGTGAGCGTGGTGTGTGTGTACGAGCAGAGGGAAAGCTCGCCCCTAGTTGGAACAAAGAAAACAGGTAATTTGACAAATAATTTCCAATTCAGTTATAGGTACTCTTTTTTTTTTTCTTGAATTTATTTGTGAGCTTTGTCCATCCTTCTCTGTCCTCAGCTCTGGATTCCCCCGTCGGCCTCCGTTTCTCTGAAGTCTTTACCAACTCCTTCACCATCCACTGGCTCGCTCCCCAGAGCAAGATCACCGGTTACCGCGTCCGTTACCAGATGGCGAGCGGCGGGCGGGCCAAGGACGAAAGGCTGCCCCCGTCCAGGACCCACTTCACTCTGACGGGGCTCAGCCCAGACACGGAGTACTTGGTCAACATCTTCGCAGTGAGCGGGACACAGGAGAGTCTGCCGCTCAGCGGGACACAGAAAACAAGTATGGCGGCAGGATTCGACGGTTGATTTGAGTACACTCAATGATGTGATCAGAGTGATCCTTATAATGTTCGTTCGTTCCAGTTTCCGATGCCCCCACTGACCTGGAAGTGCTGGAGTCGACCCCCACGAGCATCACAGTCAGCTGGGCAGCTCCTCCTGTCACTGTCCGCTACTACAGGATCACTCATGGAGAGTCAGGTAGAGATAAATGGAATATAGGAACGCCGAGGAATGCTTTTTACCTTGCGTATAATTGCTCATGGTGTTTTATTGCTCTCTGACCTTGCCGACACGGTGCAAAAACTGTGGGGGGTTAATGGATTTAATAGCTCTATTTAGCTAACCTAGTGACACCTGTGGAGGTGTGAATACTCACACCTGCACACTCATCAGTTTGTTTTGTTTGTTTTGCATTTAGAGATGAACAGCTTTTGTGATGAAAAATTCTTGAAATTGAATTTTTTTGGCCCTCCCTACACTACACACACTAAATTGTGGATAGTTTAGCAGCATTGTCACTGAACACTGTCCATCCCACTTTCTCTTTTCACTCAGGAGGTCACAGCAATCCCAGAGAGTTCACCGTGCCTGGCTCTCAATCCACCGCTACCATCAATAACTTGCTGCCCGGCACTGACTACACCATCACTGTGTACGCTGTGACTGGCAGAGGAGACAGCCCCGCTTCCAGCATTCCTATCTATGTGACGCACAAGACGGGTACGGGGCCACAAGTAGCACCTTTTTAAAAGCACAGATGCACCCATGTACCATTTGTTTTTATTTTTTCACAAGTTGTCCCAGATTTGTCCTCTTCAGCTGTTCTTTTTCCCTCACTAGGCGTCGACTCCCCCTCTGAAATGGAGGTGACAGATGTGAACGACAACAGCGTGACGGTGAAATGGAGCCCAACCCAGGGCTTGATCAAAGGATACAGAGTAACAGGAGTCCCCATAAGTGGACAGGGACCAACATTCTCTGAAGTGGTTGCCCCAGGTATGACATTAAAGTTTAACCAGTGTTTTTTTCCCCAACTTTAATCTATTCGTATGTTTTGTAAATGGTGGCTTTCAACATTTTCAAAATTTTTATTTTTTCCTTCTCCTCTCCAGACCAGACAGAGTTCACTTTTACAGGCCTGATGCCTTCATCTGAATATGTTTTGAGTGTGTACACTCTTGGACAAAATGAAGAGAGCTCCCCACTAGTGGTGAAAGCCGTAACAAGTAAGCACCTGACCTTTCCACGGATAGATTTTGGAGGACTAAGCAAAATGTCCAAACAAAAACACGCTCTCCTGTCTCTGTAACGCTGCATCTTTGAACATCTTTTGCTTTGCCCTTTTAGATGTCGACCATCCCAAGGACCTTAGCTTTTCAGAAATCGACTCCACCTCCCTGCGGATCACCTGGGATAGCCCCGATGGAATTGTTACATCTTACCGAATCTTGTATTCAAGTCCAGAAGAGGGTGAGAGAGAGCTGTATCCGTCCCCCAGAGGAGATGCAGAGTCGGCCATTATCTATGGACTCCAGCCGGGCACTGAATACACTGTGAAAGTCATTGCCATGCATGATGACACAGTCAGTACACCACTTGTCGGGACACAAGCTACAGGTAAACTTGAAAAAAAAAGTATTTTAAGAAACTATGACTCATTGTAGTGCACAAACGTCTTGAGGAACTAGCCAGAACGAAACTGAATTCTTTTCTTCTTTTCTTTTTCTTCCCTCCAGGGATCTCTCCTCCTAATAACCTCCAGTTCTCCCAGGTTGGCCCCACGTCTTTCACCATGCACTGGGCTTCACCGGGGCAGGGAAATCGAATTACTGGCCTCACAGGCTACCGTGTGGTGGTGAACCCGAAGAGCAAGACTGGCCCCACTAAAGAGATCAACCTTGCTCCAGACACCACTCAGGCTCATATATCTGGCTTAATGGTGGGTGTTAATGTAGTCCACTCAGAGTTGAGTTCATAATCCGAGACTTGAACCTGCTTCTCAAACTTTAGCAGAGAAATATGTGCATTATTTATTCTACTAGAGCTGCTCTTGATTCTTCTGAGACAAAGGAATGCTTAAGCGGAATAATATGTGGGATATCATTTGAGTTAAGTTTGTGACTGTATCTATTTTTTCTTTAATAGATTTCAACAACCTATGAAGTCCATGTTTATGCGCTGAAGAACTCTCTGACCAGTCGGCCAGTCCAAGGAGAAGTCACTACTCAGGAGAGTGAGTTAACTCAAACTTTGACATCGGGTAAAGTAATGTAGTTTGGGTGTACAGCCTCTTCCCTTACTGAAGGTATTTTTCTCCTTTTACTCAAAGATATCAGTCCCCCCCGGCGTGTGCGTATCTCCGATGTGAACGATTCCAGCATTACTCTGAACTGGCGGTCAAAGACGGAAACCATCTCTGGGTTCCTGATCGAAGCCACGCCCACTTTGTCCACCTCAGGCTACATCCCCATTCAAAAGACTATCGGCCCCGAGTCCCGCTCCTACTCCATCACAGGTAAGCCATAATCAAAAGTCAAAGGCACAAAATGGAAACCTGTGGTTTTAGTTGTGATATCAGTCATCAAAGTGACAGTAACCCCACTCTATGTTTACATTTAAGGTCTGGAGCCTGGAACCAATTATAAGATTAGTATGTACACTCTGAAAGGCAATGGACGCAGCGTGCCTTTCACTCTCACCGCTACCACAGGTAAATATAGTATGAAATTACTTTGAGATATTGCTATTTTACCGGGATACATATTAATGGTATATATATATTATACTATAGTTGTAATATTGATACGTCTGTATGTTCATACTGTTACAAAATAGCACTAATTGAATGAAAAAAATAGGATTAGCCCACAGTTTATTTTTATAAATTCGGATACTTTCACTGGTCATGCTGTGTTAAGATCTGCCCAAAATGGTCAAACTAAAGGGGAAAAATCTCAAAACATAATAGACATATTTATGTATACTTACCCTTTCTTTATTAGTCTTTGAATTGATCATGTCGGTGCTATTTTTAGTTTTTCAGCACCATGCTGTTACACTGGAAGACATTCATGTAAATGCTTTTTCACTTTCACAAAACATTAATTTAATTTTTCTTCACTAATGTTTCACATATTTTTCCTCTAGCACAACCACTGGTCATCCCACCCACCAACATCCGATTTACCTCGCTGAATCCTAACAGCATCTCTTTCATGTGGGAGCCATCGCGCAGCCCGAAGGTCACTGGCTATTACGTCACCTATGAGGAGGCTGGAGGTTTACCCCGAGAAGTCACTCCCAGACCCCACGCTGGCCAGACGTACGCCACTGTCGATGGTGAGAGGGCATAGGATCTGAAAATACAAATGGGATGTATTTTTAAAAAAGTCTGCTAATTCTTTTAACTTTTCATTTTGTTTTTTTTTATTGTAGGTCTAAAACCTGGCACAGAGTATGTTATCAAGATTGTAGCACTGCAGAATGCCCTGAGAAGCACACCGCTTATTGGCAAAGCCAGAACCCGTAAGTGCATAAAGATTGACACATTTTTTTTGTTTAATCAATGATGCTCTTCTATCATTTAGTTTTCTAGGTATTTACACTTTTTAAAAAAGTTTTTGAGTTTCTTTATGCATCATTGTCATGTTTTATGTTTGTCTTTTTGTGTGTAGAACCAGCTACAGACTATTCAATTCTTCCTGAACTACTGGTGCCTGAGCTGCCACAACTCCCTGTCCCTCATCGGCCCAGCATTGACATTCTGGATGTTCCAGAGTCCACAAATGACAAGATGTAAGAATCTGTAGCATCGGATTAAGATAGCCACATCTAAACCATACCGTTCCTTTGTTAAAAAGCTTTTATTCTTCTTTCTTATGGTTCTTTTCCCTATTTGCACCCTTTTCTCTTAAGATATAACTCCAACCATGTGCATTTGGCTGGTACAAGTGGACAGAACGTACCAGGTCAGCATGGTCAGCATATCTATACAGAGTATCAGAACCTCGGCCCACATAATGGATTCCGTGGACCCTTTAGTGGACCCCATGAAGGCCAGAGACCCATTCTCAAAGAGCCACTGGTTTACATCCCTGTAGCAGGCCCTGATGGAAACAGAGTTCCCCTGGTTAAGGTGAGTTAACATTTAAATTAACTTCGGTAAACCTGACGAATCACAGTACTCCAAAAGCGTAAAGATTTAGCATTGATATGTCAGAAAAATTATATAGTAAAATGTTGGTATAAAATCTTGTCTTCCTGATCAATATTCCTATTGATCTTAAGATTTGAGAATAATGTTTTAGGTCAAAACCCATCATGTGAACTCACTGTCACTAATGTCTATAACAGTTTTTTAAATGCCATTTGTTTTCACCTCTGATTCGGCAGGTGAGCGACAATCCTCTCCCGGGGCTTGCTTTTGGTTTCCCTGACAATGAAACCGAGTTACCTCAGGAGGCAAAAACGGTCACGGCCATCTCCTGGCAACCAATCCCTGAAACTTCTGAGTACGAGGTGTCCTGCACTCCCATTACTCATCTGGAGGAAAGAGGCTTTCAGGTACGCATACACTCACACTTTTACTGCACGTTTTTCACACACTAATGAAGGATCCCTAGCAAAAGCGTATTTCTCTTTCCCCACACAGATGCGCCTTCCTGGCACCTCCAACAGTGCCACGCTGATTGGACTGACGTCCGGAGCATCCTATAATGTTCATGTTGAGGCCATGAAAAATGGGGCGAAAGAGACGGTTCTGGAGGAAGTTGTAACTGTTGGCAACACGGGTATTGTGCTTCTCACTGAGACATCCTTGACTCCATAAATGTTAAACATCCACATAAAATTGCTTATTGTACACATACAAGCGTAACACACGAGCAAGATGGACATAGAGTTAATATTTTGAAATTGGAAATCCATTTTTGTAAACGATAAGATTGCAAACACAATTAGTTGTTGTTGTTTTAAACTATGCTTTTCCTTCCCCTTAGTTCCAGATGACACTCCTATTACCACCAACCGCGACGGGTGTTTTGACACATTCACTCAGACCTACCACGAGGTGGGCTCAGAGTGGGAGCGCATGTCTGAGACGGGCTTCAAGCTGTGGTGCCACTGCCTGGGTCTGAGCAGTGGTCATTTTAGGTGTGATTCATCCAGTGAGTGGCTTATTAACCCCATTCCCACATGCTTTGCAAACACCCAGCCGCACACCATGGAATTATGAAACGGATCAAATTCAATAATTCTATGTATTTAACTCGAGAGGAATTTATAAGAAGCTGTTTATTTTTTTTATGTTATCAAATGCATTATAAATTCCTCATGCTGCAGGTTAAAAGCCGTAGAACCAAACATCTTATGTTCTATGTGCTTCGGCGCTGAAAAAAAACAAAAAAAAAACAGCATGGGCAGCCTCAGAGATGACCAAAACATAATTTGGAGCTTTATTTTTTGTCTTGTGTCATAATTAACTATCAATATATACTATTTCATATTTATTGGTAAAGATTGTGTTTTTGTGAGTCTGCCCATGCTAGTCTCTAATCTGTGTCAATATTTAGCTTTTTCCATAACTAAAACTCACATGTCAGGAACTCGGATCACCTAAAAGGTTCAGTATCAGTGCACCAGGATAAAGCGTTGTGCATCATATGTGAAATCATCGACATCTATACTCTCATGTATCAACTTTAATCCGCCACCTTCCTACTTTTTCTCCTATCTCCTTTTTTGCTGTTTTTCTCTCTTTCCATGTGCCATCCCTCCTTTTCGCTACTCTTCCCATCACTCTTGTTATCGTCCGCTGTCCGTTTTGTTCCCCCTCACTCCCCTCTACAGAGTGGTGCCACGACAATGGTAACAACTACCGCATCGGAGAAAAGTGGGACCGCCGCTCTGAGAACGGTCACATGATGAGCTGCACCTGCCTCGGGAATGGCAAGGGAGAATTCAAATGCGAACCTCGTAAGTACAAACCCAAAATAAAGCGCGGCAAATGTATTTGTCACCAACTTGGATAACATGCCATTCAAACTGAATAATGTCCAATACTTGCGCGTTACTCTTAGAGGTTTGTGCACACTCCAGTGATCTGGAAATACTTCAGTACTGATAAATATGTCTTGTCAGATGAATCGACATGCTATGACGACGGGAAAATGTATCAGGTCGGAAATCAGTGGCAGAAGGAATACCTGGGAGCCATCTGTACCTGTACCTGCTATGGAGGACAGCAGGTAAGACCAAGCTCTATTTTTAATTGTTCTATTTATTTAGGCAAAAAGGTTGAAAAGCTTCACGGTGGCAGCCTTCCGGTCGGAGTGCTTTGGTCTGTGTCGCGTTAACCTCTTCTCGCTCTGAAGGGTTGGCGGTGCGAGAACTGCCGGAGGCCCGGAGGGCAGGCTAACGTGGAGGCTGACGTCCTGCATCCTGTCCCCTCTGATGCCTTCGACCGCTACAGAGAAAATGCTCTCCGTAAACTGGTCAGTGTCAGTCAAGAAATAAATTTAAAAAACGCTCTGACTCTAAATGTTTGAATGTTCATTCAGCATTCATACCAACAAAATGAAAATGTGACGGAGGCAACAAAGCACTGCTTGATCAGCCATAAAACTATTGTAAATGTTGGTTTATCTTAACATGTCAGGGCACATTAGCTTGGTGCTTTTTCTCTGTGGCTTTCCTCTGTGGTTATTTTAGAAACAGATTTCTTATGTAAAATTGCAATTTTTCAATATAGAAATTACTTCTGTAGGTGCTGTGCACTCCTTAAAACATTTTTCTCTTCCTCTATCTTCCAGAACATCCACTGTCCGATTGAATGTCTAAGACCAGAGCTTCTTGCAGATGCTCAAAGCCCCTCAGATTAAAAGAGGGGAGTGAAGAAAGGAGGGGAAAAAAGTGAGACAACTTAGAATGTCATCACTTCCAAGAAGCAAAGCCTCCTCATGCTGCATTAAAGGACAACGTTTCCGGCAGATTTGTGCCGGAAACATTTCTCACCACTCCAGAGTGTAGTGCCTTAACAAGACTTTTCTACTCCCAAATCTGTGCCTTATGAAAGAGCAATGCAACTTTTGATGTGGGTGTTTGTCGTCTCCTCCGAAAGAGAAACAGGTTTCCTCATCACAGCACAAAAACTTGCTGCTTCCTCACAAGCAAGCTGTTCTGTTCACAAAAACACTCTTGCACAGCAGGTGCAGCACTGTCGCTTAACTTTACCGTTTCATTGGGACTTTTGTTGATTTCAGAACATTCCGTGACATTTGTTCTCCTTTAACCAAAACAAAGAAAATGAGTAAAGAAATGGTTCTTCTCGATGAGCCCATACACATTTGTTCAATTATCCCAAATATTTTAAGAAATCATGAGAAAAATATTACTCATTTGGGGAAAATTATTTGGAAGAATCAACAGGATTGAATGTTAACTGCTTGGATTTCTTGTTACTTTGGGTTAACATTCTTTTTTTTTTAGATTTAAAGAAAAAAGGGCACTTTAAATGAGCTGCCTTGGTCTCTGTGAGCAGTGTTCTTCTAATTCGGCTTTTTAATCTCCAGAAAATACATAATTGAAATATGAGCACTGCTACTGTTGAAATGATAATCTGCCTGGCTGTTCTTGTATAAACTTTTGAATGCATCAAAAGTTTATAAGATATCTAACGTGGGCATTTCTAGAAATTGAGACCTTAAGAAATGTAAAGCCAGAACTGACAGACCAAACATTTTAACTGTCATGTCAAAGCTGAATTAAGACATTTGCCATTTTCAAAGTTATATTCACTTTGAAATACGTATATGTTTGAATTTTTTTCTTTTTCTTTTATTTATCCCTTTTTATTTAGGCATTTTTCTCAATGCTATTAGGGGTGTACACTTTGTTTTTGAATTGCTTGTTTTGTTTTATTGTTGGTGCCAGACTCTGAACTACTGTGGACTGAATCTTTTTAATAAACTTTTAAACAAAACATTTTGCCCGTCTTTCGTGAAAATTTGCATTATTTTTTGGGACATTTGCTGGCTCAAATGTGTATTTCTTTTAGTGGTAATGAAAAGTTTATTTGCCAGTTACATTGAAACAAACAACACAACAAACGGAAGCTGGCATGTTCACGTTTTAACATCGATATATAAGGCTAGACTTATTATTATTACTTATTAAAATATTAAAGTGTGTCGTTATCTGTCAGCAGAAATGTATGTTTAGTACACCAGTAGACTGTTATTCGTCAACATTTTCTTTAATAACTACTGCTACAACAGATACTTCTTCATTTCTCCTTCTTTTACTGGCAACAGAGCTAAACATTACCGCCACCAGCTGGTGGGTCAGTGTGACGCATTTTAAATCCTTCAACTTTCTTTTGTGCATTTCTTACAGTGTGATGTAGAACGTGTTATATTTATTTTTGTTCAACTGACAACGCTGAGACAAACAGATATTACAGTTTCCTTACTTCTGTTTTTTCCCTGCACAATATTTAATCCCTCTCTTTTGGATAGGAAAAGCAGTGTCTCTTACTCTCCACCAATTTCCTTGAATTCTCTGCACAATGAAGCATCATTGGTAAAAGATTTTTGACGAGATTTTTTAATAAATATTTTAAATGGCTTTCAATGAGCATTTTAGGCCTCAGATATTTGAAAAAATGTTCGTGTGTTCCTTGTGTTTAGAAACAATGTTATCATGTTGCAATCGGAGTACTGTACACCTCAATAAAAATGAAACGCTGGTAATTTAGTGGTCACTAAAAAAAAAAAAAAGCTTGTATGAACCATGCTTGAAATAAACTTCCGTCGCTTCTCGCACGTGTAGCAGATTATTCTGAAGAACTCAAACGGAAGTACCCTCACTTCCGCTTTGCACGAGGGCGCCACTCATTCGGACACTGTGTAGAGAGCAAAGTTGACGCTGGTTCTTCCGAGTGCCAGAAGAATGGACGACGCAGCCATTGACAGTTTAATCCTGAAGCTCCACGATGTGAACGCGGTGAAGTTTGGCGAATACAAGCTCAAGAGCGGCTTGCTGACACCGATTTATATCGACCTGCGGGTGCTGGTGTCCCACCCAGCCCTCATGAATCAGGTATGCACGTGTTGCGTTCAATGCCGCGTATTATCATTTTAAACCTAATTGTTAGTGTAGTATCGTCTGTAAAACGTAGCAAAGACGACTTTCCAGAAGCTAAAGCTAACGTTATTATTTGAAAAAACAGTATTTTCCTCCTTGTTGTTCCTCTAACACTCGTGAGTGTCCAACAGTCCAATATGGACAGACTCGTGATAAATCGCTCGATTTCTGAATACTTTAACCTTCCACCAGATACCGTAAAAGTGGAGGATCTTTGCATCGTCAATAACACTGATGACCTTTTATCTTTGCCAATGTGGGAAGTGAAACAGTTCTGTTTGAGGCTGCTTCTGATGAGGAAAGCTGGACACTGCTCAGTTAAAAGCACATCTTAAATCAGCAACATGATGGAAACACAGCCAACTCCTCTTTACATTAGAATCTACAAGCATTTTAACCGTCACCATGTATCCAAATGAGCTGTAAAATTAAGAAACTGGAATGGAAGAGGGCCCAGGTAAAGTTTGTTAGTAAGGTGTTTTTGGTCTCCGAAACTCTAGCCTGACTTTATTGTTGATGCAATGGAAAGTTTTGAACCTCAGGACCTTAAGCTTCCCGTCCAGCATGGTCTGAATAAAGTTTTAAAAATGCTGGGTTAGATATCATTAGAGTGGGCGTGCTGACGTCTGAATTGCGCAACTTTAAAATGAATCCCGACACCTTAAAACAACTGCTCTCTCTTCTTTGGTTCGCAGGTCTCAAGCCTCATCTACCAGCGTGTTCGGGAAGAGGGCCTTCAGTTTGACTCCGTGTGCGGAGTTCCCTACACGGCTCTGCCCTTAGCCACCATTATCTGCTCCAGACATGAAATCCCCATGCTCATCCGGCGGAAAGAGGCCAAGGACTACGGTGAGTTATCCTGCCGGTGTTCGGACTGAACCCAAGTGGTGGGTCGAGTTTTTTCTTTTCTTCCTCGGTGACTGACGGCCCGCTCGTGTCCTGTAGGCACCAAGCGGCTGGTGGAGGGGTCGTTTAAAGAGGGGGACCGGTGTCTGGTCATCGAGGACACGGTGACCAGCGGCAGCAGCATCCTGGAGACGGCGGACGTGCTCCAGAACGAAGGCCTGAAGGTACACGGTCCTCAGACTGCTGTTAGAATTACACGAGCCACCGTCCGCCGACCAGACGTTCACACAGACATTTCCCTCCCAAGGTGACCGACGCCGTTGTGTTAATGGACAGGGAGCAAGGCGGCGTGGAAATGCTGGACTCCCGGGGCATTCGTCTCTTCCCCGTCATCGGCCTGTCCAGGCTGCTGGACGTGCTTCTCTCGGCCAAACGCATCGACGGCCAAACCGACCAGTCCGTCCGCACGTTCTTACGGGAGAACAACACTTTCAGGTGCGCTCCTTTGTTCTCGCTGGGGAAGCACTCCCTTCACCAGCGACATAAGCGTCCAAAGCCGTTTGTCCTCCTCTTTCAGGCCCGGGAAGCAGAACGGAGCCGGCGCCCCCGTCCCCAAGAAGCCGTGCGTGGAGCCGAAGCGGGAGCAGAGCTACGCAGACAGAGCCCAGCTACCGGGTATGGGGCGTCCGCTTCCCGCCGCTTGGGCCCTCACGTCTCCACGCCGAGGCGAACTGACACGCCGGTTTGTCCGCAGGCGTCCACCCGCTGGCGTCCAAACTGCTGAGGATCATGGAGGAGAAGCGGTCCAACCTCTGCCTGTCGGCCGACGTAAGCACCGGCGAGGAGCTGCTGCAGCTGGCCGAGTCGCTCGGCCCAAAGATCTGCATGCTGAAGACCCACGTGGACATCCTGAAGGTGTGTGTGTGTGGGGGGGAGGGAGGGAGACAAAACGCCAGATGGGAGCGAACGCGCTCATGCCGTTGTGACGTGTGCCGGCAGGACTTCACGGCGGCCTTCAGCCAGAAGCTGCAGGCCTCAGCCGAGAAGCACAACTTCCTGCTGTTTGAGGACCGGAAGTTTGCCGACATCGGGAACACGGTGAAGCACCAATACGGGGGTGAGATCCTGCTGTTGTCCTCCGTTCGTTTTTCTGTCACAAAATTTCTCCAGGCTGATTTTTTTAGAAAAGGACGGGGGTCCCAGCATTGTGATCGGTGTGTCCCGTCGTGCAGGTGGGATTTTCCAGATCTCCTCGTGGTCCCACGTGGTGAACGCCCACGCCGTGCCGGGGCCCGGGGTGGTGCAGGGGCTGAGGGAGGTGGGGAAGCCCCTGGGGCGCGGCTGCCTGCTCATTGCCCAGATGAGCTCCCAGGGGTCCCTCGCCGCCGGCGACTACACGAAGGCGACGGTGAGCGCCCGTGCCGAGGCCCCGTTCTGAATTTCACAGCGCCGCCGCCCACCCTCTCACAACCGCCTGCCTCTTTCCCGTCCTCACAGCTGCAGATTGCAGAGCAGCACGCCGACTTTGTGATCGGATTCATCTGCGGCTCGAAGATTACAGAGAGGCCAGAGTTCATCCACATGACCCCCGGGGTGCAGCTGGAGGCTGGAGGTAAACTTCCTGATTCTTTTTTTTTGTGTGTAGTGACAGTTTTTGAACACACGGTGGTGCTACATTACTAGAAATGATAGCTCATCTCAGCAGAATCGCTGCTACTCTCCTCTCCTCTGTCCTCCCTCCATCCTCCAGGCGACAAATTGGGCCAGCAGTACACCACCCCGGAGGAAGTCATCGGCCGCAAAGGCTCTGACATCATCATCGTGGGACGGGGCATCCTGGAAGCCTCCGATAGGCTGAAGGCCGCGGAGTCGTACAGAAAGTCGGGCTGGGACGCCTACACTAAGAGAGTGAGCGTTCAGTGAGGGCTCGCGGGAGGAATCTGGATCGCCGCGTCTAATTTCAACCTCAAAATACAACTACGAGAACCTCCTCTAAATGTGCTGTCCTTTGACACGGTCACTTTGCAGAACCGGGCGGTAACACCTCCTCAAAATCACAACTACACGGTTCACTTTCCAGGGGTAACTACCCCGTAATGCTGCACGTGGCCAGTTTTCCGGTATTCCCCATATTTCCAGTAATGTGAACAGTATTATGTCCCTGTTGAGTGTTACAGAATCTCATACCTGGTCTGTTCAACCAGTCGGATCTGCTTTACTAAATTATAAATACTAAATACTACTAACTGACGAAATCCACTGACCTAGTGCACACGTTTAATGTAAATCTTCAAGTGCTAAATGAAGATTTACAGATCAGAGAAATGTCTGGGGTAATTAAAACCGTTTTATTTCTGCTCTTTAACACTTTAAATCACAGATATATATATTTTTTTTTTGTCACTCAGCAATCAATCTTGAGCTGCAGCTTTACAGCTTTATCACAATTTTTTTTTTCTTTTTGTAAGTGTAGATTCATTCCAGGCTCTCTGGCTCTTATGCACCACCACTGACTCCAAAGCAACACAGTGGGTTTGTGGGCCAGTTGAACAGAGTGGTTGACCTGTGTGCTAATTGAATTTATAAGCCTATGCCGTTTGTCATGTTGTTTCTGCTGTTCAGACATTGTGACCCGAGATCATTGTGACTGAATTAGGATTTAGGTTTGTTGCTGTTTTGATAAGGAAAATTAGTGTGCCGTCCATGTTTGATTTTATTAACAAACTGAAATAGTGCAAAATGTCACATGATCTGGGGACTGGGTTCATCAATTGGTGCGTGCACGTGAAAAGATTCAATTAAGGTTGCCTCAAGCAGGATTTTGTGTCGTGATGGCTGAGCTACATGCAGTTCACCAGCTTTATATTTGACTGTTCTCCATGATCCTGAGGTTTCTCTTCCCAACCATTTCAAAGGATAAATTATTTTTGAATGAGCCTTAATACATCCATCTCAATACATTACGAAGTAGGTTTATGATTGCATGTTATTTTATACAATTTTGCTGGACAGTATTTCATACATTTTTATAAACAGTATTTCACACTAGAATTTTCAAAGTCATTACTTGATTTTTGTCATTTCTGGACTTGATTAAAATAAACTCCTATGGACAAAATACCTGACTTCTTCTCTTGTCTATTAATGGTGTGGGTTGGTATGAGAATATTAAGCAACATCTCTCAAAACTAAAAGGCTGTATGGCAGGTTATCATGGAAATTCTGATGAGTGTAATAAATGATTAAATAAATAAGATAAAATTGGTTGTAAACAAGGAACTATATGCCTTATTTGAATGCATTTTGAGAGGCATCTTTTTGCCCAGTTCTAAAGACATCAGTCACTTTTAAACTATTTCTATCAATGTCAAAATGACATTTGTTTTCACACTTTAAAACCCACTCTATGATCAAAATATGTTGGCTTTTTGTGTGGACTATAAAGATGTTTAATAGTCTCTAAGTTGATTTGTCTATCATACACACGAGCAAAACTCCAGAGGAAGCTTCTGTCCTCCCCCACCCAAAAAGTTGTGAAGCAAAGTGAGCCATCCAGCTCTAGATAAGACATTTGCAAGGCAAACTGTATGGAAATGATGCCCGATCGGGCGCTGAGTCAGACCAATGAGCTGGTCTCCAGGTAGCTACGCTACAATGAAGCTTTTACGGCTCCTGATGTCGCACAGGTCACACACCTCGTTGCCTGGCACAGGGGGAGGAAAGAGGAGGAGGGAGCTTTAAAGTAATTCATTTTCCACGCACGCGCGCGATTATGTGCATGAGGTTTGTCTATGGAAACGCCCCCCCCCCCCCTCCTCCTTCCCCGCCTCGGCACCCCTCCCTCTTTATGTCAATATTGGATCAGAGCAACGCACCGTGCGACAGGTGTCTGTGCTCGCCCGGAGGGTCCAAATAAAGGGGTGGAGAGAGAGAGAGAGGAAAAAGAGAGGAAGAAGAGAGAAGGAGAGCTCGCGCGTGTGCGCGTGAAGGTATAAAAAGTGTATACCTGTTGCACACGGACGCATTCGGCGCGCGTAAAAGGTGAGGAGCAGGTTACGGGCTCTGGTTCTGCTGAAGGTAGGCCATCATCTCACGCAGCATCAGTCCTTTTCGAGACTTTTACTTGTTCTAACTTTTTCCCCTTTCTTTCACTCCCACCCAAAAAGCACTCCTGCCAAAAGGCCGAGGAGGCACAGGCCCAGCTGTTACGCGTGCGGCGTGGCGCGTCCGTGGATGCGCCGTCACCCTTGATGGTTTTTTGTGACTTTTCCCCCTTTGTCCGTATTTGCTTCACGTTGAGCCTCACGTACAATACCTGAAGATGAAGTTTTGTTCGTTCGGCTCGCGTTACGCAGGTACGGGTTGGCACCTGGAAAAGACACAAAGTTGGTTTTCAGTCACAGAAAAATATAAATTATATTCACAACCCACACAGTCTTACCACAAACGAAAGGATTTTAAAGTTTGTTTTAATTAAAGGGGTTTTTATTCCAACAGCCTGCAATAATCCAGATGTTTTATTTTCTGTACGTAGAACCAGCTGCTGCTACTAAGCAGGGAGTAGGGAGGAGTCAAAAGGTTATCTAAAGCAAGCAGTAGTTAAACACAAGACAAGACAATGCACCGACAATTGAGTCTGGATCACTGCCTCAAGCAAAGATAACATATTGGTAAAAAACGCATTCAGTAACTGACAACAGGTGTGCTGTGGCTCCTTTTCCACTGAATAGGTAGATTCCTGTATTTGCATACAGCTGGCTGCAGCCAATGCTCTACAGAAAAGAGGGCAGAGCATTGGCTGCCATGCCCAGCAGATTACAGCAGAGTAAACAGCAAATATGAATATGACTAAAAACTGTTTGGACAAACGACTATCAGCTTGGATCAAATGTGCTTTGTCTTTTAGTTGTTGCTAAGAAAGTTTGGAGACGTAACTGAGCCGCCAATCAGTCCATATGCACGTGTAAAAAAGCTCATATCCTCATATCACTATTGATGTAAATTCCTTTTTGTAACTTATGGCAGTAAATAAGTCCAAACACTCAGTAATTTTGAAGTGACCTGCTGTTGCTGTCCACATGAGTTTTTTTGACTGACCCATGAAGAGGTTGACATTTACCCTTCTACAGGTGATAATCTCTTGATCTCCCTTTGGTGCAGTTTTTTGATAATCATTTTCCCTTTGGCACATTCATGATGACAGCGTGTATTTTCCACTGTGTATGTGTGTGTGTGTGAGATGGTGTGTGTGTTGGGGGGGCAGCTTTCATCACTGCCTATCTCCGACGTCATGAGCCAGGACCTCAGGCAAGCTGCAGAGCGCAGAGAGATGGGCTTAATGGGACCTCGTGTTAATCATTAACTAAACATTAACCACACACACATCTAAAACAAGCCATCTGTCATCTGGACGCTGTGATGAAGTATTCAGCCACAGCACTTTTCCCAGTCGTTAGCCATTGTTTCTTACATGCATCATTGTATTTGCCTTCAAAATGAGACACAAATGAAGCAAAGTGTGTCTATGGTTTTAAGATCTAATAATGCTCCTGATACAGACTGCTCATTTGCTACAAAAACACTTTAATTCCCATTGCTGATTTGTAACTCTGCCAAAGAGCCAAAGCACTTATAGCCATATAGCCATCATCAATACATACATTCAATATTCAAACTGCCATTCGTTTCCCCTTATTATTTAGGTTAATTTAAATAATAAGAAATGAAAGAGTCAAATAAAGCCATGTTAGGTTTTTTTATGCTTAACAGTGAAATAGATGTGGATCTAAAAAAAAAAAAGTAATTCTGTGTTGGCTACACAACATACGCAGTACAGCGTGGCCATTGCTTCTATACAGATAATTCCTACTAAGTATTTGCACTTTTCCTTTTCTGCTCTTTTTAAGAATTTTTTTTCTTTACTATGTTTTAGTGGCCCTCCGTAAACATTGTTACTCTTCATTGAGTTAAAAGCACCCAAATAAACAGACATTGTATGTTTCACACCTTCCATACAACATAATGAAGAAGCCTCTCCTGGCTCTCCATGTCACTCCACCTCAGAGCCTATTTGCCTCCACTTGAATCTCCGGTCAATATTTGTTTAAAGGCAGCGAACGGCAAGGCTCACACTCTCCAGTATCCTGGTTACCCTGCTCCGAGTTAGAACGACAGTCCCAACTGGTCCTGCCGTTGCTACACCCACTCCTCCGGCTCCAGGAGTTGCAGATCATTTGTTTAAGATTCAACATGGAGGCTTAACCACCTGTCCACCCGGCCACCTCAAGTCCGACCTCGCCCAGAAACAGTGACACCTGATGTTTTGTTGATCAGCAGCCGTGGCAGACATGCCCAAATTCAACACCTTTGGTTAGGGGGAGGCTTTTTAATGTTTGCATGGCAGCTCGTTTAGTAATGATTCTACTTTTATCTTTTTATTTCTTCTTATTTCCATTTATGAACACATCAGGCAGACCCACATTTGTTTGGTTTAGTTTATGTTACATTGGAAATTGTCATCACAGGAAAATGCCAATCTTTAAAAACAAAACAAAGCAAACATTTCAATTTATTGGTATCAGTTCATGAAGAAGAGTTTTCTTTTGATAACATTACTTAATGCCCATGAGGATAGAATACGATTAAAGGCATATTTTTGTGTGTGATAGTTTCATGTTGAAATACCAACAAAAATCCAACTCCAATTTTAGATGAAAATATGTGAGATTTGCACACCGATATGATAAATGTAATGTCAGATGAGAGTAGTCTAAGAAGTAACCTATTTACACATCAGTGCTCTCCATCTTTTTTTATAGAACATCCTTTTGACAGTGATCTTTTATTATTTTAAGTGAGAACAAGCTGAATGAAATTGGAATTTTTAAAAAACAATCCACTAAAATTAATTTTCTGACCGCCCGCTGCCTCAGCGTTGACCCTTTGGGCTCTCTTCTGTCGGGTCATTCTACATCATTAACATCGCTGTTTGGATCTGTCTAACAGGAACATGATTGTATTTGTGGTGCCTGCCCAACTTTTGTCCTATCTGTAAATGGAGTGGAGCCTGTGCTTCTCACAGGCTCCATAAATGCACGTATACGTGTTCATTTGTGTGTGTGTGTGCGTGTGTACGTGTGTGTGTGTGTGCTGCCTGTAGGCTATGTGCTGTTTCCTCTGACAGTTACTGATAATGGATTCATGCAAATGCACAAGGCCTGTTTGCCTCCCAGGTGGCTCCTCCTCACCTCAGCTCTCAGACTTTTTGTCCGTATATGACTAAAAAGTCAACAAAAGTTTGCTAAATGAGTCATTCAGATCTAGTTCTTTTCTCTTCTATTCCTGATGTTTAAAACTGCCTTTCCTTTGCACGACTAACTGTCGATGGCCTTGTGTGTGCCTGCCCTCGCGGCATCATGCAGTGGTGATTCACGAACAAAACCACAGAAAATATCATAACCGATATAAGGTTTCTTCATGTTTTTGTGTCAGGCTGCTTGAATGTCTACTCTGAGAACATTGGGGACAAGTGGAGGCGGCACGAGCAGATGTCCTACTCACATCATCCTTACTTGGATTAGTTTCCATGGCAACGTTCCACCTGAAAGGGAGCATTTATTCAGTGCAATCTGCATGTCAGCGTGCTCGTGTGTAAATATATGTCACATGTGGGACGTTTTGTATCTATACTTGTATTCAAATGAATAAAGGTAATCAATCATTAATCAATATTTTTGACAGACAGCAGTTGACTATTATAGCTGAGGCTAAAATAAAGGATTCTGTAGAGGATAGGGGGGTTATCTTTAACATTACAGCATCATCTATTTTGTGAGATAACATCTGGCCTTTAACCTGTTACTTTGTAAAAACTACTACTTTTGTATGTTTGTGTTAGAGTTAGAGTCATACAGCTACTGTCCAGGGAAACTGAAGTATTATTTAGGCAGATGTGACCAAAGTGACGTCATAATGCAAATTGCCTTGTTTGGAAAAAAAAAAGAACCTAACATCTGTCAAGCGGTTTGCGTTTGTATGTATATATGATATACATCAGTCAGTCAAACACACGCAGCCTTGTCTGCGCTCTGGCACCCTGTGGAGCAGATGAGTCATCTGACACTCATGTTGGGATTTGTGATAAGGATTCAAAGTGGAGCCATACAGTGGGAGCACTGTATTGGACTACCCTGACCTTACACATGCAAAGTCTTCCACCCGGCTGTACTTAACAGGAAAATCAGATTCACTTGGGTCTGTGTGTGTGGGTGTGTAGTCATATGAGCAACTGAAGTGGGACAGTTTCTATCATAGAGTGAAGAGTAGTCATCATTTATCCTTAAGGATAAAAGCCCAGGCCATACAAGACATAAGTTCACAGATTGTAATAATGGTTCAGGCTTAAGTTTTGGCTCTAAATTGTATGGTTATGATAAATATTAGTGCTGGGCTCTAACTTTTTTATAGTGTATTCGGTCATTATCTCAAAATTGAATGATTTTGATTGAAGAAACTAGTCCCCCTGTCAACTTACTTTCCGATTCCAAAAGGAAGGTGGGCCAACGCATCGTGTCAACATAAACAGAATTAGAGCCCATCCTATTAGTAATGAAAGTATGCACACAAACACACATGGCAACATCTGCGCCTATATAAGCCTTTCCTTTCACCTGCCCGTCACCTGCTCTGGAGGCCAGCCGGGCCACACACACTAAAGCACACAGATGCAGAGAGAGAGAGAGAGAAAGAGAGAGAGAGAAAGACAATGAATGGGTTAACAGAGGACAAAGAGAAAGCTGTTCATACAAGTAAACAGCACACATGCCCCACAGGTGGAACACATACACTCACTCTGCATATGTGCAAAGTAACCAAAGACCAAAGTAGCTCCAGTGGATGCACTATTCAGTGATATAAGAGAGATTTTCGCCGAATAATATCCTCTGGCTCCCACACATGGCTGGATGGTTGTTGTGCATGTTATATCAATTTCTGGCGGCAGGTGATGCAGGGAATTGGCTGATCAATGAAATGTTTAGTAACCTATATAGTGGTGCTAACACAATAAACCAATGATTTTATAGTGGCCGTTATGTTTTGTATTTCTTCAGTTAAATATGATGATGATAATAAAACATTATCAGTTGAAACACGAATGGATCTTCTAAAGAGTATGAATTTACACGATTACAAATTTAGAAGACTTACAAATGTCCTGTTTCTGCCAAATTCAATGTGATAAACAGGTTTCCCACTAGATGTCACTAACACTACAGGAAAATGTATCACCTTGCCAACTAGTTCTACAATTTCTCTTGGTACACAGCATCGGCCCTCTTCTAATGAAACCAAAAACAGTGGAGTTTAAGCATAGGTCAAGTACTCCATCATACACACACATACATATATACATAAATGTCTACCTGTATGAATAGAAACAAAGAAAAAGTCACATGATTTTCAATTATTTTTTCAAACATGCTACAGAGAATTCTGAAATTCAGAGATCGCTCTCCAATGTTTTTGATTTCTCAACATGATTTAAATGTACATTATTTGTGCTTCCAAAAGCTGTAAATGATTCTGGATGCAGAAGAAAACATGATAGACAGCCTACACACACCTGGTATCAAAACTCACCTGGAATTTCACAATGTAATTATTCTTTTTTTTGCTGGATGTGTGCATTGATACGTAAAACACAAACATGCAGGTCCTGCTGGTGTCACTTCATTTTCTCTGTGCATTTATTTTGACTGTTTACTGTGTGATGGAGCAAGCCCGTCTAACTGCCGTGGTGGCCTTATCGGAAAATGCCAGGGTGTTATTTGTCATTTCAGATCTAATATTGAAATCTTACATAGGTGAGAGAGCAAAGGGCTACTGACCAATCTCTCAAAAGGTGCTTTTCTTTTTTTACAGAACTTCATCCAGCTTACGCTTTCCAGAAAGAGGGAAAGAGGGAGACATGCACTCTAGATGACATTGGTGTTCACCCAAGCAGTCAGTGTGCGGGATGCCTTGGACTGGTTTCCTACCTTTAGGGTCCAGTTTACCTACAGCAGAGAGGGGGACACAGGGTGGGGGATCAGCTCCGAGAATGTGTCTATTATCCTGCCTCACCAATCAAACTGTTGTGTCAGTGCGTTGCCATTGTATAGTCCTGGGTCAGGTTGCCACCGACCATGGCTGCCATATTGATGACTAAGTCAGTTTGGGGCTCTGGGGACAATGGCGCTCTGGAGCCTCCACAAAGCGCGAGACTAATGCGCCCCTTTCAGCCGTCCTGCCCAGCTGCTGAGTGTGCAAGGCTGGTGGGCAAATGGAGTGGCGCACGTCCAGGGGGCCCGTGCCTATAAAAACACAGGCGAGGCTCTCTTCCCCGACATTGATTATACCGGATCTGTCCCACCTCAGTACTGTCTGTAAGTATCTCAACATACTGCCTTAGATTCAGCTTTAAGAAAACTGCATACAGGAAGGGGTGGGGGGGGGAGTAGGTGTGTGCACAGGGGTGGTGCCCGACAGCCACTAAGATGCTCCCCATGTTGCGTATTATAGAGAAAGATTGCTGTTGTTGTACTTCGCCAACAGTATAAACATCGAAGCCACTTCATATTTTTATTTCTATCTCAAAGGATAAAGCTCATGTAATATCATTTTCTGGTGTGCTCCTGTTTGGCCTGTAAATATGGCAAAATCCAAGCAAATTTCTCACACTGGATGACCTATTTTTTTTTTACTAAAGAATTTTAGCATCTCTTGAAAGCTTGTGTACTTTCTTGCGTTATGATACTCGGTAAAAAAAAGGAGACATTTCTGTGATTTCTGACTCAGAAATTAGTCACTAAGTGAGTCAAATCTCTGGTGGGAGGAAATGGAAATATGGCAGATGAGTGGAACTTTTCTGGTCTTGTGAGACCATTCGAGTGACCTTTCATCCAGAGATATATTTGTTACCTTACTACCACTATGTTATTACCACTAATGTAAGCTATGATACAATATTTGCACTGAAAAGGGAATCAACCATGATGCCCCAGGACAGTTTTAAAGCTGGTCTTTGTTGTGGCTATAGGTGTTTTTCTGTCATATTTATGCCGAGTGTTTTCTTCTTAAGAGAGTAACCCCTGTGGGAGAAGCAGCAGCCATGAACCCTCAACAGATGGAACAGATGGGTCAGTTCAAGATCACAATGTGGGAGGAGGAGAACTTCCAGGGAAAGCGTTGTGAGTTCATGCTGGAATGCCCAAACATCATGGATAGAGGCTTCAACAAGATCCGCTCCATCAAGGTTGAGAATGGACCGTAAGTTTAGCCAACTCCTGATTTTTGTCCTCTCCCGGCCTCTCAAACGATATTCTTAATTTTCTTAAATGTTTTTTTTTAAATTATTATTTTAACCCTTTACTTGCCAGAACTCCTCCTTTTGTGGATTATCATTTGACCCTGTGTGCACCTTGTTTAGTACTTCCGGAAGATTAATCCATAATACGTACAGAATCAGAGAATTTTTATTAGTTTTTATCATAAATTAGAAAAAATGGGAAAAAGAGCCTAAGTGATATATAATAGTTATATTATTTGAGTATATATTTGATCTTAAAAAAAAACAAAAAAACATATTTAAACATTTTCAGAAACTGGTTCTTATAAAAAAGAAGAAAAACAGAATAACAAAAGAAAAACATGAAAATGACAACCTGCTGTGTTATTGAATGGCTGATAGGTATGTAATGCTCGTGTGTGTGTGTGTTTGTGCACGCATCCGTGTGTGACCCTGCTGCGATATGAGCTGGCTGCGTGCAGCTGCTGGGTGTGAGCCAGCGTGGCTGGCTGACTGACTGACTGGTGATCAGATAAAGCGCCCCGGGTGCAGCAGCAGCAGTCCCCCATGTTTGTTTTGTGCCTCCGAGTGACAAAAGGGGCTTTTCACATGAAGTCACTCCCCTGGATGCAGAGCTCTGCGTTTAATCACAATACGATGTGATTGTCGCTCTTCATTAGTTTGTAATGAGGTGGTTTCACATTTTTTTGTTGTCTTTTTTTGGGGGGGTTGGGGATTATTTTCCTCAGCCAATGTTTCTCACCTCATTTCTCCTCTCCAGTTGGGTGGGTTTTGAGTACCCAGAGTTCCAGGGACAGCAGTTTATCCTGGAGAAGGGAGACTATCCTCGCTATGAGGCCTGGAGTGGAAATAGCAGCTACAGAACCGAGCACATGCTTTCCTTCAGACCCATCAAGTGCGCTGTAAGTCCCCCAAATCCTCACCATTCATCAATTCCTCCTTTTTCCCAAGGCAGTATCTGTCAACTGCTAAGAGAAGCTCGCATCAATAGCCCCTCCTCCCCCCCCTCCCCATTGATGCTAATCTACCCCTTATTGTCCCTGCGAGTCCGCCTGATATGTTGAAATGATTTATTCTTATCTTTAGTCATTTGGTCTTATTTTCTCTCTGCTGCATTTGATTTTTTCTCTGTTCTTGAAATCAAGGCTGTGATTAAAATTCAGGCATCAGAAACACATTACCAGAATTTGAAAGAACTGCATTGTGCTTTGCGACGTAAAGCAATAGCTTTTCAAGATTAATTTCTGCTCTCCACATGTAAATACTTGATTTTTGGAGAAGAATGTCAGCCATTACCCCGATGTCCTGCAGCAACATCATGTATTTTTCTTTCGCCTTCGCAGAAACACAGTGACAGCAAGGTGACCATGTACGAGTGTGAGGACTTCCAGGGACGCAAGTTTGAGTTGTGCGATGACTACCCCTCCCTACAGGCCATGGGCTGGTGCAGCAAGGAGGTTCCCTCCATCAAAGTCAACTCGGGAGCGTAAGTTGCTCCATTTCCCTTTAAGCAGACATTACTTTAAACTACATGATTCTTGCTCTTTTTAAAAAAATGTTCTAGATCAATGTAGATATAACTTGATATAATTTAGAAGGCCTATAGGTCTTTATACTTTCATTTAGGGCAGGGTAAAATGTTAAATCATGTAAGCAGTCTCAGATAGATATATACAAAAAACACAAACCTTTAAAATACTCTGTGTCTCTGCTGAGGTGTTTGTTAATATGACCTGCCAACCCATCTGCCCTAACCTCGATCCAACCCTTCTTCCTTCTCCGCAGCTGGGTGGCCTACCAGTTCCCTGGTTACCGTGGCTACCAGTACATCCTGGAGAGAGACAGACGCCAAGGCGAGTACAGAAACTACAATGAGTACAGCACCCAGGCTCATACCAACCAGGTGCAGTCCATTCGTAGGATTCAGCACTAAGATTTCACTCTGCCCGCCTTATCTGATCTGAAAAGGAAAAAAAAAGAAACTCTCCCTTAACGGCCTCCTCAACTCGGACCCTGGACAGAACGCTGTCACAGAACAGTAGATGGACAAATTCTTTCTAAAGCTCTGTGGCTCTGCATGTATGGATATTTAGGTGCCTAACTCTATCATCATGCTAAAGCATGTTCTTGAAATAGGAAATAAAGGCTTTTCTTTCAAACTAGAGACTGTTTGTCGGTATTCTTTTTTTTTTCCCAAATGATATTTTCACCCCTCGATAAAAATGAATAATAGGATATGAACGCAGTCGCAGTTCCCCTGCTGCGCCATCAGACAATATGTACAAGAATAAGGGGTCATACTACAGATGTGCAAGCATTACAGAGTCGGGGCTGCTTGAACTAGACTGCTAGCACACACAGATTTTGAGTTGTATTTACTGAAGACATACTCAGCCTTTTGGTGAACATTCATGGAAAGATTTGATTCTGTTAGGCTTTAGGATATGTAACATTGTTCTTGTCAGACTGTTTTCTTATTTCCAATAAACAAGAGCATGAGATTCTATTTGTTTCAATTTTATTTTTTTACAACTGTTAAATGTGCCAATAATGGAGATTTGGTTATTTTAGAAATGTTCATTACAGCTTAATGACTTCAGAGAGAAATATAAACCCCTTTATTCTATCCTCGCATAATTTGGATTTTCTTATTTGCTCTTGCTTTATTGGTGTTTGTGTAGTAAACGTAGTCATCTGAGTCTTTACATCCACAGTGGACCCAGAGCCAGTGGTGCAGGCCTGTGTGTGACAGAATAGTATTTGGCACCATGATGTGTTCTTATTTTAAGTGTCTGATAGAACTGAATAAAGAAAGGAAAGAAGAACTATGACAGAATAAAAGATGGAAAAAAAACTGCTATACTGATACCACAGATCATTGCATGGGAATTGCACTCAGACGATAATGAACTTAAATAGATGCTGAGAGGAACTGTATGTCAAGAATCTGAATGACAGATGAAATGCCTAAGGGCGGGAAAAAAAGGAAAAGAAAATCAGTTGCAATGCGCAGAAATGGAACATATTCCACTGTTTAAAGTCTTGATTTTGAAATGCTATTATAAGCTGCAGCTTCTGAATAATAACAAAAAGACACGATAAGATAGACTTTATTGATTCCAGAATTGGTAAATTTTTGAATTACTGAAAGAGAGTCTCAACAAGATTCTGGTGCAAAGTCTGACTTTACTAAAGAAAACAAATAAAGAAACATCCTTCCACAGATAGGAGGCAACAAACACACAGCCATCAAGTTCACCCCAATTACAACTGAAAGACAACTAAAAAGACAGACACAATGGCATTAGTCACCACACCACCGTGTAGATCCTTGAGGAGAAACCGTCCTGTTTGTCCACTCTTCAAGGACCCGTCGCTGTTTATCTTAGGCAGACGCCTGGATCCTGGAGTGTGTTTACCTCCACGTGCACAGGTCGTTGGCGGTCCAGGACATGGGGACTCCACGTCACACACCACACAGCCCTCACCTTGTAACAGTCCCACGCCCGAAAAGCAACAGGATCTCTTGATGAATGTGTAACCACGCACACACACCTTTCTCAAACATACATTCCTGTACACACCGATTAAAGCAGCTGCAGGTCGGCCACAGAAAGAGTGGCATCTGAGTTGTGTCTTGAGTTACAAGCTGCAGCCCCACAGTTCAGAGCACCAAGGTAAGTTGAGTGTCTCTTTGTAATGATAGCTCCCGAAAACGGACAGATTCATCTATTTTCTTGTATTCGATTCATGTCTGCTAACTATTTTTCTTGAATTTGAAGTGTGCACAAGGAACATACTTGTGTTTCTTTTTATTAGTCAAGATAGTTATGTTTAAATGTTAGTGAAGTATTCAAAAAAAGACCTGCAACGATATGAAATCATACCATTTTTTACATTTTCTGGATTTTTCTGTGGATTTCTACCCTCATCTCTGACTGGAACCTTCCTGCTGGCCACTCTATTGCCTTCACCAAAGGATGCAGTCCAGCTTCTGAGGCTTGTTTTAAGTTGCCTGCGACTTGTATTTGGACACAGGCAGCTAAAGCAAGTCTTGGATGTTGGATACCTACAAAGACACCTTTAAAGAAGAAGATGAACAAAAAAAAACCCGCAGTTTTCATTGATAAGGAATTGTGAACTGAGTGGCCGGAAACAATTTATTTATTTAATTTATTTCATGTGTTGGATGTAATGATACAGTTAGTTGGATTAGTAGAACACAAAATAGTAGCAACTGGTTATATAGATGTGTTTTTCTGTATCCCAGACCGAAAAAGAACACATGGATTTATTTGACTGAAGTCAATCAGTGCACTCAGTTCTCTCAATAGAGAGAATGAATGATTTCCAGAATGTGCATATCTAATTTGATTGTTTCAGGAGTCTGACGAAATCTTATGCTCCAATTTTGTGTTTTTAACCCACTATGTTTCTCTCAATTGTATATGACCTAATTGTATTGTCATCTATTCCTTTGCTAAATGCATTTTCATTTCCAAACTCAACCCATCTTGCTAAAACTAAAAGTTTGTTTGGGTTGTGAAATACAATGAGATATGGAAAAATCCACATCCAAAGGAACAAAGAATTCAATGTTTCAGGGATGTGTTTTTCATGAAAGACTGTTTCAGCCTTTGCACTGACTGCTCTCACTTTATGCAAAAATATAAGGGGGGCAAAAGTCTCCTGAAATATTGATCTTGTTTAAACCCACAGATTTTTCTCAGTGATGTACAAATATGTTGTACCTGCAATTTTCACAATAAATGTATTATTATTATTATTTACACTGCATGTTTAGATGTATAGCAACAACGTGTACATCTGAAATGCCAACCCAATTAAAAAAATTTGAATCTGTGCCAAGAGCTGAATTTTTATTTGTGTTGCAAACGGTGCGTAAATTGTTCTGCGCAAAGATCACATGGAAACATTTAATATTGTTGCCATGCAGTCCTCTGCTTCCAAAAACTAGGAGCCCACATGATAGCGTCAACAAGCATCAGAAGCCATGGTTTGAAAGTTACGACCTCATTACCCTCAGATTGATGCCATATAACCTTAAGCCCACATGGTGGAGGTTAGGAGGGATGACATGTTCTTGTTTTCTCGTGCGCTTCCAAGCGTGTTTTTCAAGGTAAATATTCTTTTCCCAACATGGAATAGGCCTTTGTTGTTTGCCGAGAGGTAAAGAGGCGGAAAAGTGAGGAGGATCTGAACTGGTTTCCATGTCAAACACTTCAATTCACCATAGAAACTCAGATCTTAACGCGGAAACTTTATTAAACTGTGATGGCGGATTGATAAGGGCCGAATTTCTATCGGCCTCTTTTTATTGTGGGCACCAGGCAGGCTGACAGAGGTAAATTGCTCTTTTAATTAAAGCAATGCACCAGGGGAAATTGCTGTCTGAATATTGTCTCAGAGATGGGGGCCAGTGACAGTTGCCTGGAAACTTCAATCTGTCCACCCGCATTTATTCCAGATCACAGTTATGAGATAAAGTTTAATAAAAATCTTTCCCTGCGCCACCAACGAAATGAAATCCAACCCTTTCTGAGCATCTGAACACAATGAGGCAGGACTGTGGAGGAAACCTCATGTTCAACATGTATCTCTCAGGTTTGTCAATTTTTCCAAGTTAGGAAACGGAGAAACAGCTTGTTAGGACGGGGTTTTTGAATATTTTGCTGCGTTTTCTGTGGACGGAGAGCGGCGGTGCTCCGTTTCCAGGGCATGGCACCGCGAAGCCTTTTCAATCTGAAAGCCCGTCTGCTCTTTTGTCGGAAATCGGAAATCCTCTTTCCTGGACGCGTTTCCTGGCTTCTTGCTCAGGGGGACCGCAAAGACGACACGCTTCATGCATTGGACTCAAACTGCAGCAGGGCACAATTAGGATTTTAATCGATTTGTGGATTTTAAGCATAATTCAAGTCAATCGTAGAAAGTGTTTTTTTTTTTTTACAGCATTTTATAAATAAGGCTTTTCCTTGTTGGATGATTTAAGTTTTCTGAATACAAATTGAAGTTTATTGAATTTTTTATCCTTTCTCCCTTGATCTGGAGGGGTGATGCTATGCTTGAAAGACAACACCTTAAGAACTTTCTTTGTATTTATTTTACCTTAAACAATTAAGAAGAGCAAATAGGCCTTTTCAATGTCTTTATACAGCAATAAATACCCAAAGCCTTAACATAATGCTGATTATTGGTATTTTCTGATTTCAGATCCAACAGAAAATCTGTTGAAAGAAAGTAAAGGATCATCTTGGGGTCCAATAAATACAGGAGTGCAAAAAGGTAAGAGACCACAGGTGATATTCGTCAGACTGTTTCTGCGATAATATTCTACTGAAAGACATCTGTATCCCAGCATGAAAATTGATCACTTTGAAATGGATATAAATACATTATACTGTAAATGGATAAAACTGTTGATTACCGTTTCTCAGATACAGCTAGCGATGTAAAATACATAAAAAATATTGAACACAAAAATTGAAATTGCCATGAAATAGAAATAATATTTTACTGTTCACCTTTATATATATTTTGGCTCCTTATTAGTTTATTTTTCTCCAATCATTTAAGGCCTCGCTAGGTTTGATAATTTACGCAGTAAAAATAACAATAATATCCTTTGCAATCTAACATTATTTGATCATTAACATGATGTAGTTGGTCCTGTAAGCCCCCTGATATGTGCTGATGATTTGGTCATTTGAGACACATTATATTATTGGGGGCCAGAAGCTAAAATTTCCTTTGTTCTGTTTAGAAAACTGAATTAAATTAGGAAAATAGAGAACAATATTTGGGTCTCACCATCAGATATAAGCACTTTGGTATAAGATATACTCCACTGCATAAAATATACATCAAGTTAATTTTCACACACATTTTACGTTTACACAGACAGTGCTAAAATAACATTAAAAAAAAAAACATTTTTTTTGCAAATCATTTTTTTTTTTTTTACAACACAAGTAGCGTAGGTCGAACTAAATTATATCAAAAGCCTTTCGTCGCATTTCATGATACAGGTGGAATGGAGTTTTGTAATCTGCGAGTATTCATTTTTGAGGATTTATTTAAAAGGCGATGCCATGCCTTGATTTGTTAAAAACGAAAGAAAGTACAATAATTATGGTCTCAGGTGAGCCAAGTTACTTAATGCCTTAATTTAGCTGTTTACATAATTGCAAAAATGAAATATGACCATATCGATGTCTGTATTTATTTACGTGGACATTTATATTTTAATCAATTTGTGTGCTTATCAGTGTAGTTGTTTGCTTAATAATTATTAACATGGAGCTATAGATTGGAATTAACAAGATTTATATCTGGGGAGAATGCAACAATAAAGACAACTAATGAGAGCAATGTTAATAAAGAATAAATAAATCATATTTATATAGACATAGATATAAATATAAATTAACACAGTCACTTTTGTCACTCTCTGATATGCTTGAAATATAAAATCTACAGTTAAATGACATGTTTTGTTTTAACATTGGTCTGTTTTTACGCGAACAAAAATATTTGTTGGACTTTGTGTTTCACTTGTGTGAGATTCTGCAAAATTTAGTTTGAACTTTTTTTGTGTGTTTGTGTGTGTGTGTTGCGGTTTTCCCCCCACCCCGTGCAGGCAGCGGGCAGATCCAGCTGTGGCAGTTCCTGCTGGAGCTCCTCTCTGACAGCACCAACGTGTCCTGCATCGCCTGGGAGGGCACGAATGGAGAGTTCAAGCTCATCGACCCGGACGAGGTGGCCCGGCGCTGGGGCGAGCGTAAAAGCAAGCCCAACATGAACTACGACAAGCTGAGCAGGGCTCTGCGCTACTACTACGACAAAAACATCATGACCAAAGTCCACGGCAAGAGATACGCCTACAAGTTTGATTTCCACGGTCTGGCGCAGGTTTGTCAACCATCGACAACCGAGCAGGCCATCTACAAGTTCCAGGGAAACTTCTCCCCTATTCCGTTTTCGGGTATTTCCAAGCTCAATCTGGTGGCTCCAGGCGTTGGGCCCTCGGGTTTCTCCTACTGGCCCGGGTCCCCTCCTCTGTACCACAGCCACAACCTGCAGCCCCCCGGGCCCTTCAGCACCGTCTCCCCGTCTCACATCAGCTGCGTCAACAACATCAACAGCCTAAGCAACATCAACAACCACTACAACTGACTCTTAATTAGCAAATTATGAAAACTTGGAAATAGACACCATAAACGACAGGCAATGTTTTGGGTTTGCAGAGAAATATCGTTTAAACTAAACTGACCAGGAAGGCTTGATTTTGTTCAGATAAAATGTATCAGCCTGCAGCAGCAGCAGCTTATTTAACCTGTAAATATGACACACTCTATTCTAGTTTCATGGCTGATAACAGAGAGTAAGCAATTAAATACCACGAGATTTTTGTGCATTTGATTGGGTGCTTGATGGTATGTGCAAAAATGAGAAAAAGATGCGACCCAAAACAAGACAGACCGGATTTCCCACTTGATCCATAATTGAAAACTGTGCGTATCCGCAAGTCACGTCTGAAATTGTACGTTAGAAAACTTAAAATACATATTGACACTTAAAAAATTGTCATACAGGTTTAATTAGAAACCTCGATATATTTCGTTTTCTAGCTATTAAACCCACCACGATGGCCACTTTTTACGCACAGTTATTCGATCTTTGTGTGTGTGTTTGTGTATTTATATACATATTTGAAATAACTACATCGATATCCCCGTAGTATTTCACCTGTTTATTCCAAAAAGTGATGGGGGATTAAAGCCTATTTCATCTGTCATTGGGGTGAGGCAGGGTACAAATACAAAGAGACAGAAAACCACGCCCAATCCCTGCCATGGTGGTCAATTAACCAATTAAGGAAGATTGAGTAATCCGTTCCTCCAGAAAAGCCACAACTACGGAGGGATATGCAAACTCCAGACAGAGAGGCAACCAGAGGGGATTAGAGCCCGGGATCTTTCTTTGTGAGGCGACGGTGCAATCACCATACCACCGTGCAGCCCTAAATCGAGTAAAAATAATCCAAATGGAGACATTTTTTAACTTCAGCAATAATTAAATTGGACAACCAGTCACTCAATGTCTCCTTGCGAGTGACCACATCTGAAAAAAACACAGATAAACAATTTGTGACACAGAGATACTTTTGGTCTTAAGCGATTAAGACTAAGCGATTAAAAATCCATCCTCCTAAAAGAATGAAGGAGTCTCACCTTTGGTAATTTGATATTTGTCTGTTTTTTTTAAAGGTTTGGATCAACTTATCGTTCGATTATTGGAATTCTGACGCCATCTCGTGGTTGTGAAAGGGACATGACATGTATTTCTTTATGGTGACTAACAATAAAGGAGAAGAGTGGTCTGTAACATGTTGTTATTAGGAAAATTTGAGCCTGTGTGCGTAAAGTGCATGGGCACTTCGATGTGTTTAGTTTTGTGTGAAATAGGATGAAGAACTTTGTAAATAGGCTACTAGGACAAATAATAGCTCAGGCTTCCACTGCTGTTTGTGATTCTTAGCAAATCAAAGTGCACTCAGTTACAGAGCAACATACTGTGGCATAAACAACTGTAAAAATAAAAAAAATCTAATCAAATCAATACTTGTGGCTTATTTAAAACATTTTGTTTTTGCAAGTGCATGTCTCCTCATTTGGGTTAGAATTCATAAAGATGTAGACATGATTCATCTTTACTAAATAGTAAATGAATGAATGACTAAAAATAGATCAAAATAAATAAAGCTAATAATTATTGAGGTGAAACTGACTAATATGAAAAAATACGATAAATAGTCACAACCCAAAAGGTTGTTTTCTTCTTTGGCTATTTTTGCAACCTACTGTGATGCGTTTTGCTCACTGATCTTATCGGCTCCTGATGAAGAGCAATGAACCAGTTTTCCAAATGGTGACTTTAGTATGAATTACTATTACTATTACTATTACTATTACTATTACTATTACTCTCAAATGTGACTTACAAAGTGAGACATGATTTTAAGTATTGGTATTGCTGCTATCGCTCCATAGAAAAGGTAAACAGTAAGCCTCTCATCGATATTTTAACATATTCCCTACGTTTGGACAGGTCAGTACTGTTGAAAACAGCATTTCTGTTTTTCTTTTTCCATGCAAATAAACAAACACAGTTAGAACAACGGAGCTGCATGATACTAGAACGGATATTTAATTCTAAAATCCCTGTTTCACGAGTCAGCCATTTGCTCTTTTCTTACAACAGCAGCTCCAGAGGTGTCAGAGACGTGTATACACTATTAAAGCTGAGGGATGAGGTAGTTTCACAAGAACCCTGATGCTTACCCACCAGATGGTGGTGCCATAGCTCTTCTAACCTCACAACGGTGTTTACATAACCCTCTTCAAAATAGAACGTGGAGGCATTTGCAAGAAGCAGAATCACCTCCTTGCCTCATTTTGTAAAACTGTCACTTGCAGAAGGAAGAGTGCGTGGAATTAATTAGATATAGATTTCCTTTCATCTGTGTTTTTGAGATGTTATTTAACCAATGTTTACGTCTTTACCAGAAGACAGGCTCATATGTTAGGAAATTAAAGGTATTTGGAGCAGGATTCGGTTAACGACATGGGAAAGAGTCACTACAGTGGTGAAATCATGACAAAGATGGGTCAACAAGTGTGTCTGTGTGTGGTCAGATAGAAGGGTGAGGGTCACTCATCCACAACAGTGTTTGTGTGTGTGTCCTGCATATGAATGGGAAAGACATGAGGTCGCTATTGACAACTGAATCTATCTCTCTCTACCCCAGATCCTTTAAAAAACACACACCCACAGAGTGTGGGGGGGGGGGGGGGGGGGTATCCTGGGTGTACGTGTCACACAAAAGTTTGTGCTTCGAATAACAACATAGTTAGAGGGATTTGCCCGCTTCCACAATCTTGCAATCGTCACTCTCTCCTTTCTGCCGCTAATCTGTTGGCCTGTTGTTGTTGTTGATCCTCATCCCTTCTCTTGCATAACAACCTGGGTGGGTGTTTTCCTGAGAACCACTGGAATAACCATGCGAATGCAGAGGAGTAGAGAACAAGAAATAAGCATAACAGAATGACAAGGAAGAAAAAAAAACAGAAAAGAGCATAATTGTCTGCCTATATTTTTTAAAGTGTACTCCCATTTCTCCGTTTTTTTAAATGTGTGGGTTTGTTTTAAGAGGAGTCAAATAGCTAAGACAGTGGTTTAGACAATAATAGTACTACTATAGGTGTTCGGAATTAAACATTTGAGGAAATTAAGAAGAAAAGACAATATTTTTCCATATGATCATGCATTGATTTTTTCATACTTTGGGATGCAAAAGTGAAGGGTAGGAGAAGTCTACAACATTTGAATAATTTTGAGGTCTGGACCATGACTTTTGCAATACCTTGATCTCATTCTTTTTTAGCCATTCTCCTGCAGGGCTTGTGCGTAGAATCAGCTATTGTTTTAGCTAAGCCTTAGCTCTTGGGTGATTTGCTTCACATTGGACTCTAAAATACTGAGGGGCTCAATGACTGCCAGGTGTCCAGGTGCTGTAAATGAAATCTGACCCCTAATTAGCTGCCCTCCACCATCTGCATCTGATTTTTGGTGGTGACCTAATGCGTTTGGTGTGTGTGGTGCTGTGCTTTTGATCACATTTAGTCAGTCAGTATGATGTAATTATGCGTTATCTTTCATTATCACTTGTGTTTATCCCATTGTAAGGCCTTTTAAGAATCAAATAGGTGTCTTTGTCTGCCATTGTTTTGTCCTAGTATGATTAATGATGTACTTTCTATTCTTACACGAGTGTTTTAAAGGATTAGATACCCGATTCGTACAAAAAAATAAATAAATAAACAAAAATTTGCTCAATAGTTTTTTTTTTATATCTACAGGTTTGAATGAGTCATATTCCCGGTAAATAACCAGGTTTCTCTGAACTTTACTGTGCATTATCAGGAAGGTTGTCAGTGGGCCTTGGGTGTCTTTGTGTGAAGTATAACAGTCAGTGAGTCATCCCGCCACAGAGGGGTAATGAAGCTCAGAGAATTTAGAGCAGCACACCTACACGGTACTGAAATAGACATGAGAATAAGAGGTGAGAAAAAGACAGAGAAAAAAAAGAGATACACTTTAAAAGCCAATGAGAAATAAGGGAAGAGCAGCAAGAACCCATGTTCATTCACAGGGAGACAGACTTGGATCTTTGGATTATGAAGCCTCCTGAAGATGTAACAAAAGTAAATACATATCAGTTATGTCTGTAATGATGACAAATGTTCAATAAGATACTTCTTTAAAGCGGGAATATGCAGTGGGGACATTAATTCTTAGTCTGAGCAGTTTCGATTTATCGTCTCTGCCGAAGCATGACGTTGGGTTTCAGGCATTAAGTAGAATTTAGCTTCTGCTAAAGATTTGAGGATTGAATATTTGTGAAAATAAAGAGTAGGATTTTCTAACCTCTCCGTTAAAATCAATTTATTCACAATATTACTCTGCTCAAATGAAAACTGGGATTATATAAACGTGTGGTAAGTGGGGTATTAAAAGACCAGTAGGGGTTCCATTAAAAAGCTCATTTGTGAGTTTATACTAAAGTACAGAACTTCTTTACCTGAAAACCAAGTGTCGAATAAAGAAAAATAGCATGGTGTGAAATAGGTATCTTATACAGAAGCTGACATAGCCATTAACATGGTATAGGTGTTTGATAAATGGACTTGTGTTGTATAAAATGTCAGAAATTTGAGAAAAGTATGTGGTGTTTTACACAGCTGTACATTGCTGTTATAACCCAGATCTATAGAGGGCATGAATAATTCAAATCACTCCCACTAGAAGTGCTTGACAGTGCTGTGGTGCATCAATGGAGACTGAGTGCCTCTTGCTGTATCTTAACAGTGGAATAATCTAGTTAAAGAGATTAGGCCGACGGTTATGTAGTAGCACAGCAGAATAGACATAATCCTCCAGGGTGTTAAAAGAGTTGGTCCAGATTTGGACCATTTTCCTTTTAAACAAATAAGGGAGACAACTGCTAAAAGAGAATCCCATTATGAGATAAATAGACCCGAGTAAACTAATCAACACAGGTGTGAGTTCAACCTGGTTTCCATTCCCTTCTTAAAATCCACCACCTCACCTTAGCCTTGGATGCCATTTGAATTGATGTCTTTCTTGTTATTTTTTATTGCTTTTAATGTCTTATTGGGTCTCTCTTTTTGGTGATTTTGTGAGCATGTTCCGCAAATGCAAATACAGAACAAATACAAAATAAATGGTAAAAATGCTCCTTTAAATTTGGCCTTTAACAGCCACTGCAGCCTCAAATGAGGGGCAACTCAGAATGAGAGCAGGGTTGAAAATGGGGGAGTGAGAAGCATGCCGGCACCAGCAGACATACTCTCACACTGTGTGCACATCCACCATTGATCAGTGCGGTGTGTGTGTGTGTGTGTGTGTGTGTTGTGCAGCGGTTCAGCCCACGCGCAGCCCTACAGAGCTCACTCATTCACTCACCTACCCGTTACTATAGAGACACAGCTGAGAAGAATGCAGGGAGCAGGCTGGCAGACAGATATGCGGGAGACCAGGGTTGAATCTTAATAACAAAAAAAGGGAGAGGAAAAAAAGAAGGCTCAACAGTTAGCGGCTCCTCTGTGGGTTACATAATGGTACTGCAGGATTCTATGAACTTCTCAGAAGGCAGGGAAGTTTAAAAAAATATGCATGTCACACAATATGCAGCAGTGAGCAAGACCAAATTTTGAGCATTTTTGACATACTTTGTCCATTTAAAAAAACATTTTATTAAAAGATTATTGCTTTTTTTTATTGTATCATATTCATTATTTCAAATGTTCTTCTATTTTCCTCTTTTTGTACCCATCAGAACTGAAATAAGCCATCAGCAATAGCACTGATTTAAACCATTGTGTTTCATCCTCTTATCCCTGGTCCACATTTTTAAAACTCTGTAGATTTTCCAACCCAATACTGTCAAGCATTTTCCCCTTCTGCTGCATTTCTGTCTGCAATTCATGATTTCTGCTCTGTAAATAGACACTGTGTGTCCTTGTAAGACAAGAGGGGATAAGCTCACGCGCACACACACACACACACATACACACATACACACACACATACAGCCACAGACAGCTCTGAGACTGCAGCAGATTCTAACCAATCACATGAAAGAACACACCAAGCCCATGTGGCTTATTCATAAAATTAGGAGGAAATCTTTATCAATGCAACTGCGCTCAGTCAGCCGGTGGATCGTCAATGTATCTTGGATCTGGGGTGATGCAGGCGACTGAAAATTACTGATGCCATGCTGTTTGGAGATCTAAAAAATCAGAAAGAAATGTCTCTTGCGAGAACAGACAACCAAATGGCTGTGAGGGCTAACAATTCCCCTGCTTGTTTTAAAGCTGCCATTGTTCCAATTTCAGTATGTGCCCTCATACTGAAGTCGGGACACAAAGACAGGGTACCAAAAATATCCTTTAAATGTGCCAGCGTGCTGGGATGCCCTCAATCTATAAAGCAGTTTAAATAGCAGCACAATAGAGGATGAAACGGCTGTGCAGTTCAGATTTAAATATGCAGCTCTTTATGTGTACAACCCTAAACCTGAGGGAACTAAAAGTCCAAGCAAAACTTTCCATTCAAAAACACCTCTAACAGATATATTCCAGTTTCATGGCAACCGACGAATTCTCATGAGTTGCAGTCTCTTAGCAACCTATGGCAACACTTCCGAATAAGGATATTCGTCATGGACTTATTTGCTATTGCATAACTGTGTCTCAAGGGTTCATAGGGAATAGAGGATTAGTGGGTGTTGTGCGTGGATAAGAAGGTGCAGAGTTAATTACTGGTTCAACAAACTGCAAGCTGTGTATAAACACAGATCAGAAGCGTGTGCGCACAACAATGGGATTGCTTACGTAAACTTCGGGACAATGTGAATTATTAAAACAATGCGGAAGAGACGAGAGGTTCTACTTTCATTTGGTTTTATTACATTATGGTCACATTAAACAAGTACTGTATTGACCTTTTTACCAAGATGTAGAAAGAGTGAATGCATCTGTGGCGCAAGAGCACACACACCTAAACATCACTTTCCACATGACATAAAATGGACTGTACAAAAGATCCAGTTCACAGATGATCATTCTAAAGCGAGAGCTGGTGACGGTAAATGCAAACGTAATGGAGAACACTCCAGCGCTCCAGAGGAAAAACACGCTGGCACATCACCCTTATGTCATACCACTGTGCGAAACATAAAAAAAAAAAAATTTGTTCACAGCTGTGCAAAAGTAGCAGCATCATCATCATCAACTTTCCAAGCAACGGATTCACAGCACATCACAACCATCTGTCGGAGGGTCAATGCGACTCGATGCACAGGTTCACCCTGGAGGTTTGGTTTCAGAGTTGAAATCGAATCACTTTTTAGCTTATACAGACTGCAATGTCCTGTGCAAAAAATGGTGGTCGCCTGTCACTCACCGATGAGGTTTTCTTAATCAAGCAAATACAATTTTAAACTCAACTGAAAGTGAATCTAAGCGAGCAAAAAAGATCCTTTGACCATTAAGTTCTATTCGTGTTTGCAAATGGTTTTCACTGTTCAAAACAAGCAATCTTTGAGAATGGAATGCACATCATGTACATGTAAACCATATGATTGCAGGCTATTTTATAGTTGGCACACAGAATATTAACAAAACGAAAAAAAAAAACGTCATAAAAAACCTCCACATTCAGTCTCCAGCTGACCGCTGCAGTGTCCTGCAAAGCAGTACATTACAGGTGCCAACATGTGTCGAAGAGCAATACATAAAAGAGGCCTGGTTTTGACATCCCTGGCCATCTATGGACCCCGTAAGCGCAACCCAATACATTCCAGAGGTGGGGACAACAGTTTCTCTCCTTTTAAATGTCTCCCCCCTCCATTTTGAGCTCGAAACCTGCTTAGTGTACAAGGTATTTCCCACAGAGTGGAGCTGACATTGCTGTATGACATTCTCTAATGACGCATTTGGTGGTTTCAGTAACATAAAAAGAACTGAAAACACTTATATACCAACCAGCTATTAAACGAGCCCTGGCATGGTGTTCTTTTTTTTTTCTGCAAGTGCAACCTTTAACATTAAGTAAAGCTTTACAGATGATAAATGTAGCGTCATACGCCTGCTCCCCATACAGGAATATCGAACGATTATTTACAGTATTGTCCTCAGTGCCATCTTGGATACCTCTGATATCTGTTCCCTGCTCAATTGCTTAACCAAAAACCACTTGCTCTTTGCAAAGCACAATATGCTACCTGTTCATTCAAGGCTTAGGCGTATGTGCTGAATGTTTACTGGGCTCGTTGGTCCTCTTAAGCTACTCTTGGCTCCGTTGAGGCAGAGGGACTCCAGCAGAGGAGGGAAAGGCTGCCCAGGTCAGCACCTCGGACAGCTCCACCCCCTTAACTCCACTGATCTATTCTGGTCCTGCCTTTGACTTCACCTCAAAGCATCCATTCAGTCCGTTTCCCCCCCCAGAATATAGGCTAATCTTGTATGAAACTGGTATCTAAGAGGGTCAGAGTCTTAGAATGGAACGTGTACAATGAAAACAATGCCGGTGTAATCGAGGGAAAGGGCAAAATTGGCATGCAAGTTTGAAACCCCCTATACGCGGTAACCTAAACACCATACTGAAGTTGTCCAACACCAGGAGAAAAACATTACTCAGCCCCAGAGGGCAAGAAGCCTTCAAAGATGGCCTTGCTATTCAAAACCACGCCGATGGGATTTTGCAGTCACCATTTTTTTTTTCTCGTCCTATTTTTATTATGATTTTCTTTTTTTACATTCAACTTTAAAATATTCCACAGTCTCGATTTTTTTTCTCCCTGTCAGCGGTCCAGGGTGGTCTCGCTGGCGTCGCGTTGGTTTTTCAGGTCCTGGAAGATCTCGGTGAAAAAGTGCGGGTCCGCGTTCAACTGCAGCATTTTGGCGCTCATCCTGTCGATGATCCGGAGCGACGTCTCCCAGAAAACGTCCTTGTTCGCCTCGATCATGAACGGCTTGAGCGGGTACGAGATCTCGTTGCCCATGTAGGAGTAGGCCAGGTACAGGCACGTCTGAAAGGTGCCCTGCAGCTCGGACGCGCTCGCGACGCTGTCCGTTATCGCGTCCTCGCACAGCAGGTACACGAACACCACGTTGGCCGGCGTGATGAAGCCGATGTCCTGCCAGCCCTGGATCAGAAGCGTCCGGTCGATGTTCCGGAACCAGAGGATCACCTCTCCGCTGTTCAGGTCTTTCAGTTTGTAACACCTGCGGCACATGAAGTCCCCCAGACAGCGCAGCAGCTCGCCGGTGGACGCCTGGATGACCACGCGCCGGGGGGACACCAGGGAGACGCTGCTGGGCTGCTTCTGCACGGTGGACAGCCTCCCGTTCTGGACCTCGCTATTCTGCGTGGGGACGGTGGGCACCGGCACCGGGATGGGCGCTTTGGGTTTCTTCTCCTCGGTCTTCCTCGCGTTCTCGCTGTTGAGCTGCGCCACCTGGCTGGACGCGGGGTCGCAGGCGGGCATCGGCTTCGGGGTGACTTTCTTGGCGCTCTTCTTGGCCGAATTGGCCACCAGCTTCTTCCAGGAGAGAGACACGAACATCGAGTGCCGTTTCAGGCTCTTGTCGTTCTTGTGCGCGTCTCCCGCCGCGGCCTCGGCCTCCATGATGGACGCCTTTTTGGTCGCGGGAGATATGGAGAGAACGGTACCCATGTTGGCCGTGGAGGGAGCTGCCGTGGTGTGGATGCTGCCGCAGCAAGTTCAGCTCAGAATCTTCCGCAGGGGAGAAGAGAGGCGGTGGGCAGAAGTCACGACGACTGGAACTCCATCACACATTTACTCACTCGGCTAAAAAAAAAAAAGAAAAAAGGCAAGAATAGATGATGATTTTTCCAGCTGAAATGAAAGCGGTATCCCAGGCAAAAGGGGGGCTCGGTGAGAACGCTGCGGCACAAATCCTGTGCGGCTGTAACCTGGACGGAGATTAGTCGCTATGCGTAAAACCATGGGTTTAGGCGAACCAACGGGTGGAGCGCTTGATTGGCAGTCGGGCCGACCAATAGGAGGACCGATCAATGATCCAATCACTAGGGGTGTTGTTTTTAGGTCTGAGCCGCTATTGATAGACTGCGACACGCACTTGATAAGGTGAGGTGGTATTTTTCTCACTTGTGCGGTTTCTTTGAAAAGCGTGTGCCATTTAAAAATCAGACCACCTGCATGAAATGGTTTTTACTGACTGATTCTGCTGAATCTCAACAGCTTTACTAAAGGCAAATGGTCTCTAATCAAGCTCTTAACATGATCAACATGATTCTATAACAAAGCATTGATGAATGATGATGGAGATGGTGATTGTTTCCTTTTTGATTAATGGTCTGCACCATTTGATGTGAATGGGTCACTTAACTTTACATGCCATTTAGTTTCCAACTGAGAATTAGTTTTATGACGTCTGATTAATTGTTTCCGGCTACCCCAGGCTTGTTGCCTTAAACAAGAGTTTTAAAGGTAGAGTTTTGAGGTTTTTAAACATCAGAACTTTGTTCTTCTTTTAATAGTTCATCATTCTTTGAAAAGCTCGTGGAAAGAACTCTGGAAAAGACTTCTTGTTTCAGCTCTGAGTGAACCGAGCACCCAGATTATGTTTACAAGGTGAGAAGTCACCTGGACAGACAGAGTCAAAACGTCACTTGAACCAAAGGGAAGATTTCAGCTCACAGGAGAACATCTAATCTGACTGACCATGGTTTCACTGTTGTTAAACAGGTAATCTCAGAGAAAGACACCTTGACCCCAACGGAAAGCGTTACATGTCCCTGTGGTCCGTTTGTGTCTCGTTGTTGATCCAATTACCCCCGGCAGAGCTGGCACACCTTCACTCGGTTACATGACAACTGTCTGGTAAGTCCAGTTGGCCTGAAATAGCACCGAAAAGTCTAACGCCGTGAACTCCTCTGACTGTCTTGAGGAATGGTAAAAGCCTAATTTATGGGTTTCCCGTTCTAACATGCGGAGTTCTGCCATTATTCACCCATTTCTACCTCTGTATAGTGTTTGGAACAGTAATAGTAGGTCAGTGATACCATTATCACAGTTTTACATCATGTAAACAATAACATCATGTAAAGTAATTGTGTCATCATTAGCTAAGGAAAGCACAAACTTAAAGTAATTTTAACATATTTTGATCTCATATGACATGACATAATTTTCTAAGGCACATGGAGGTACATAACAGTGTTGTAGCTCATAGATAGTGATACTACCTTCAGCTTAAAGAAACAAAACAAAGTATGACATTTACTTCAGGCTCATGCAGTTTGATCTGAGTTATGGCCAGAGGACTGTCTGAAAAGATATAGAATTGGCTTATGATGTGCCACTGAAAACCAAAAAACAGCTGCAGTTAGAACTCTCCACCGAGCTGCCAACCGATGCAACAATGACAAAGAAAAACACCCAGTGAGGATCGTGATCTCAGCCAAACTTCTCAATTTAAAATGGAAGGCAGACCTGTAGCTTAAATTCTTTTGATCATGCTGGTGTTTGATCATAGATAGGGTGCTGATCAAAAGAAGCTCTTTTATCACAAATCAAACAGGACGCAACAGGATGTGACAATCTCTGTATTAAACAATAAGCATTGAGCCTTTCCCCGTTCTGTTGAATGTCATTTGGTGCATTTCAAAGGGTGAAAATGAGAAGATCACCTCCTACAGAATGGAGGAATAGGCAGTGAAAGGGACATGGTGGTGTTCTGTGAAGGAAATATATGACTTTATTTTCTGTTTACCCTTGTGATTCAATGTCAGATTCCATGATAACAACAACACATGGATTACTTAGATTAGATGGATTAGAATTAGTCGATGGGCTGTTTTTGCTGCATTCATTTGTGTGGGTTTGGACCCTAAAGGTCATAAAAAAGCTCCTAAATTTTGGATTGAGATCTTGTTAGGAAAGCAAATCTGACATTTGATTTATATATTTTCTCTGGTATTTCCCTTTATGTAAATGATGAAATCAAACTTTGAAAGCAAAGAAATAAAGAAAAGAGAAAATTTATTGATTAAGCCTGCAAAGCTGGTTGTATCAAAATCTTGGGTAATTATTTTCTATAGCTTCCTCAATCAAAGCTTTAATCAATGCAATAGATTTCTGGTAATTTGATTAAATGAGCCTGTAGTATAAATAAAAGAAACGGTGAATCCCTGTATCACATCTACAGAGGTGTAAAAAAGAAGCCAGTGAGGTGTCCCACTTACCTAACTGCACTTCACCTACATCCCTCGAAGGATGTGGAGGCTGCTCCATATGTTTAATCTGTCTCTCTTCAATCCAGGAGGTATCGGCTTTATTTGGATTTACACCTTTATCACTTCCACACACAACACAAAGCCATTTAGTTTTCACATGTTCTGTTGTTTTTATATTAAGTTCATATTATAAATTACTTTTCAGTAATTCGGTTGTGCTCCCAATAACTGAACTGATATGGATTGCTTTTCTTGCTCATATCTTAAATGGACCTTTGTATTTATAATTGTAACTTAGACCTTTAAAAGTACCAAACAAGAGTGATTTTTCTGAATTTCTTTTATACAGGCTCTTTAATCATGTCAGTAAATTGAGTTTGCTTTTGGAAATAGGCAGTGTTAGGTTAGTTTTAGGGGAAACCTCTTTTGAAATAAATCTTTTGTGCAAGTTTGTCACAGAGATGAAACCTATTCTTAGGCTACTGTGGTTGATCTCAATAGAAACCAGCCAGCATATTTTTAATTCAATGTGCCAGACAACAGGGTGATAATGGTGTCTTGGGAGAATTTCCCTTGAGCTTTTATGGTTATTGTGGAATTGTTGCTGAAATAACCAGCACCTGTGTTTGTCATTTGTCTGAAAACTAGGCTGGAAGAGGGTTTTAAGTAGGGCTTGAGAGCTAAGACTGTGGTGCTTTGGTTTATGTTTATTTCCCCCTTGCAAATTGATTATTTATTGGGCCTTTGCAGTGTTACAGAGCACAAAGCAATGAGGAAAAAGTATACCCTATCTCTTTGCTAAGTATGTCAGGATAAAAAAAAGGAATAATAAGATTAGTCTGGGCCACATCAACTCTAAAGATGATGTCTGTTTACAATCTTTTTTACTTATCTTTTTTATCCTACAGGTAGAAAGACTGGCAAACATGACCAAAGCAGGGAGAAACTAAATTATTTAACTGTTTTTTTCTCACATTTACTGTACATTAGGGAGCACTGCCTTTGAGCTCTGTGTTAAAGCCATTTTTTTTTTCTAAAATGCTGCATTAGGGTCATCACCTAATCTTCCAGGCTATTTTCTATCACTCCCCTCCTTTGTGTGCGCAGCATCATCATCTTAACATCAAAAGAAGCACATCTGTTCATAGCTCGGACTTTCTAATACTGATGGCCTCCGCAATCTACTGTTTCAATTCGATTTGCTTGTTATAAATAAATGGCCTATCCTTCCTATCTTCTACAAGCTAGATGGAGACACCAGTCCTCTACAGACAGCATTAGTAGTTTGAGTTTCCAGTCGGCAAACCAAAGAATATGGACAAACTGCACTGAGGTGAAATTGTTTTCTGTTGTAGATGTTCACTCAGAATATTCATTGCAGGATGAATGGGACATTTGATGTGTAAATGAAGATCATGTGCTTCCACAATGCAACAACAATAATCTTAGTTCTTTCAGAGCATATATTTTAGTATTTTTCAGTAATATACTGAATTCAAATGTTTCTTCCTTGCTTAAATATCTGGGTCGTCGAATATGAGGGAACAAAATTCTTAGCTCTCAATGAATAAACAGTATTACTTCTCTTACACTCAATTTCTCCTTTTAAGAGTTTATGCTGCGGCACAGATATTTTTCTCCTCCAAAAGTAGAACGCCATTAAAAGAAAATAAGCTGCAGAGTGCTTTTTCTTGGATTAAGCAGGAAGATATTTTTAACTAGGGCAGCCAGTGTCACTTCCTTGTTTCATTTGCTTATTTTGCCACCTGCTGTTATTACAACGTAACTGCAACTTTTGCAACCATTTCCTTCATCTTCTGCATTTCCTTATTTAATTTGGAGCATTCCTATCAACTCCGACCTCAATACAACATTTTTCTCAGCACCTATTTACATAAATAGTGTATTCCATTTAAAGCCTTTTGCAGAAATGAACCATTACATTTAAGAGATACTGAGATCAAAGTGAAACAACATAAAATACCAGAACAATTGATTTAGGATTTGGCATTTTAAGTAGATGCCATATTAAACAATGTTTAATGTTATTTAATTTAAACTAACAGAAGATTTCTGAGGAGGATTTCTCTATTTACATGTTATACTTGTCTCATCACATCAGTATTTAGGATGAAAAAAATCAAAAGTACTAATGTAAGAGAGCGTCATTACAACCTTGACAGCTGTTTAATTCCATTTCCTTTCTTTTCCTATAAGCGGCTTGAGCTGAAACCACAATTAACCATTACCTGTGTGGCCGACCAGCATTAATGGTGGATGAGTGGGAGCTGACCACTGGAGGGCAGTCAAATCCACAAAACCGCAGAAGAGAATCCAGTCGGGGGGTTGAAATGCTTGTGTAGAAGGGAGGGCTTCCTGGTGATATTTTCTGTCAGCGAGCATCTTTGCCACCTCGTCCGAACATTTAATTAGTTCATGTGAAACTGTGGAACG